GAGGAATTGAAGTCTTCCTTCGAGTCTCGTGAGCAGGAGGCCGACCGCACGTATAGGGAGAAGTTGGAGCAGCTCGAGAATGATTACCAGTCTGCCGTCCATTATGTCAAGGGCACGGAGAAGATGCTGAAGCGCATGAAAGACGAACTCGCCAGATACAAGTCTCAAAATGCCAAGCTTCAATCCGAATTAGACGAGGCACAGTCCGCCCTGGCGGAAGCCTCAAGCGGGCCGTCAGAAGCTCCAGCCGAGTGGGAGGCCGAGCGAACCAGGCTTGAGAAATCGATCTCAGACCTCGAACAGGAATCATCGGCTTCGATCGCCAGCTTGGAGGAGCAGGTTAAAAGGCTCAGGGACGAACTTGCTACCCTCGAGGCGGATAAGACCCGATCTCAATCCGAGCTCGAGCACGTGCAACAGGAGCTCGCAGCAGCAGCTGAGCGGAGCCGTGCAGAGCTGGAACAGCTCAAGAGTGAGAACGCTTTGCTTGAAAACCGGGCGTCTGATGCTGAGCAGAAAGTCACCATGCTTCTGGATCAGGTCGAGGCGTCTGTCGGTCAATTCCGTCGCCAATCGCAGCCTGTGCAAATGAATGGCATTTCGCGCACCCACAGCAATGCCTCAAGCAACACCATCGGTGCTGCAAGCCGTCGATCCCGTGCCGATAGCGCTGTGTCGCAAGAGGATGCTTTCCCGGACAACCGTAACTCCATGGCCTTGGATTCGTTGGCGAATGAACTGGAAGCTTTGCGTAGCCACTGGGAGAGCACTAACCGCAATTACCGGCTAAGCACACAATCCGATTTTGATCGTACTCCAACGAAGGAGACGGGATTGAGTGACAGTCTGGCTGAATGGAGACGGCGATTGGATGAAGACGAAGCCAGAGCAAGCTCTCCCGAAAAGATCCAACCTCGAAACGCAGCAGCACATCACGCCACAGCGAACATGATCTAAGGGGGCAGGATGACATCACTTGTCTTTGGCTTGTCGACAGTCAGGCTGTGATTCTCCATGATAATCCAGGAAGTGCCGCTGCTGGGTATAGTTATTGGTCGCCGCACTTGGGCAGATGACCATTTGGGCAGTTACCATCTTCTGCTCATCTGTTGACACTTCGTGGCCCGGCTGCCATCAAGCTGCCGAGAGGCTTCAGGGATTGTGTCTCCGGCTTTTCCAAGCCAACCTGTTTATCCTTTCCTCGATCCCATGCCCTTACCTCCTTTCGTACATTGACCCATTTTCCTGCCCTTCGTTCGCGTTTTCGTTTATACCCCTTTATATTCTAGTTCCATACTTGGACTGTACCATTACCTCTTGTTAATTCTTAACGAAGCCTCTGTCCGATATGTATGAAAGACTATGTAGTCTAGACTCAATGCAAGTAACTGTAATTGCCTTGACTTCTCTCTCTTTGTCTCTTCGCCATACGGAGGCGTCAAACCAGGTTTTCCTTCATAGCAGGCATTTTTCGCAAGATAAAGGCTACAGGTAAAGGCTATGTCAGCGTACATGCCTTAGGCCTCAACGTCCTGGCTAGTAAGTACCAGGATACAATTCACCTTGGCCTCCGCCTCACTCTGCCACTTGTCTCACTACCACTTGGCAGAAGCATTCACTCTGGTGAAGTATGAGTATGTAGGGAAGAGCCGAAGGTCTGGTGTCAGCTTGCCATTGGTCAGCGCTGTAGGTGCCATCAATCCTTATGAGTTGGTGTTGTACAAGTTAGATTCCCCCACGGAAAGTCTTCGGAGTCAGTATAGAATATCTTGGCTGCTTAGTCTCAATGCAACAGAGAAAAAAAACGATGTAGTCAGTTGCAATTGTGATGAGTAGATATCCCGTTCTGGGAGGCGAATGGTTCAAATGTATTGCTTTTCCAAACAACATCCGACATGACGAGATCTTTAGGTCCCGTGTCCCGTGCTTGGCCCTGGCCCTATATATCCAGCCGCTGGAGGATTGAAGTATTGACAACCCAGCCGAAAGAGCCGCGAACCACTGCCATTGTTGTGGATTGAGAAGAGAACACCGTGAATATAGAAGACCTGGGCCAATGCAATCTACATCTCCAGTGCTTTCTTCTTAGATTGAAAACTATGATTTACTTTTTAAGGAACTCAACTTGTGGTAAACAACGCATTGGGTTAGCCTGTCAGTCAGGCCCATTCAATCCACTTCAAAAAGGAAGATCCACGCAGTTTGTGCGCATGAACAACCTTAACTCCATCCAGCTGTGATAGTTCATATTTTGTTTTACCGATCTACAGTATGTACCGTACCTGGCAAATTGATCCGTGAGTGATCGATCAGATTTTGGGTTCTATATGTGTATTTGTACTGAGTAAGTAAAAACCTTCACGTTCGTTTGTTCGTGATCTATCACCTCCCTCGCCCCCCCCGCTCAATACGTGCAGTACGTACCTGGAACCCAGAAAACAAGGGTGTGTGGGGAGGAGGAGTGGGTGGGTGCGTGTGGCACTCTGAGTCTCGGTGTGTGTGGGTTGTGGGCAAAATTCCCAAAAAGAAAAAAAGTTCTCGATCTCAAATTAGACCCAGGCCAGCCAGCCTGTCAATTGATTAATCTGATTGTCACCGATAAGGCGCGCGCGCGCGCGCGTGTGTGTGTGTGTATGTCATGGGTCTGGGTGGGTGGGTGTTTCTGCCCAAAACGAGGGCGGTATTTTTTATTTTGGAATTGTCACCGGTGACTTGGGTACTGTAACTTATTGCCAGTGCAGTATCCGAGGTCATCTGCTAGGCTGATGGGTCACCGCCCGGGGGTTCATTGGTGGGGATGAACGGGCTGGATTGATGGCGATGATGATGATGATGTTGTTGTTCAGGGTTGGTTGAGGTAATTAAATTCTGTGCTGAGCATAGCCTTGGTTTTTAGTCACCACTGCTAACTAGGTTGCTACCTGAAAGGAGGGCGGGGGGATTTCTATCTTAGAGTAAGAGCATTGAAGTGAGGTGGATTGGCAGCCTGCCAGGACAGACAGGGCTGCCCTGCTTGGTTTTAATATGGGTTTGCGGTGCATTGTACGTAGTGTACTGTATAGTGCTGGTTGCGGCCAATTCGTTGCTAACTATGTAGTCAAAAAGCAACAATATATTCTCAGTATTGTAGATACTGACGGTGGGTTTGTACTGGGGAAGAGCAGGTGGTTAGATCATCGACCTATTACTGTATCAACTTGCGCATATAATAATAATGATGAGGTATTTCCTTCCTTCCTTCCTTCCTTCCTTCGAACCGCGGGGGAGGCGCGCGGCGACCGAAAATACAAGACGTACGGTTCTCCGCCACAACCGGCCCAACCTTACGTTACATTGTTACCGACTGGAGGATTGATGATCGATGGACTGATTGACTTCTCGCCACTGAGCTAAACAACATTCTAGAAGTCAATGCAGATTGGTTTTAAGATTTTTTTTTTTTTTCACTTTAGTCCCTTGGGTCTGAAGCATTGAAAAGGATTCCCCCTAAAAGTCATATCACCCTGGAGATGGCTTGCTTGAAATCCCTCCATGCGTATAGTCATTTCTCTATCGAGGACCAAACAACCTCCCCCTGCATGAGACATTTAGGAGGCGTCAAGACCGAAATCTTGTTGAACTGTCAGGCTACCTGCCTGCCTACCTCTTCTGCCTGTTTTCCCGGTTTGGATTGAAGGGCATTGAATTGGGTCGCGACTGCCACCAGGCAAGAAGGGCAAGTATTGATGACTGTCAGAAGTTGGCCACTCGTTGACAGACGGGAGATGTGCAATTTGTTCTTCACCGACTCCTCCTCTCAGCCACGCTTCAATTGGGAATATCACTTGTATTTGTAGATTTCGATCGTACTTGAATCTGCCTTGTGTTCGGAGTGTTTTGCATTCACTGCCATAGGTTAAGTAACTGGAGATGGTCTCCAAATACAAGATGTAGCTGTCTTGTCCTCAAGCACAGAGTCTGATGACTTTTATACTGGAGCTATACTGGAGTACAGTACTTTATACTGTACTTACCCAAAATTACCATCCTGTATCTTTGCGTATTGACCCAAACGTGAAGTCAGAGCCGGACCGAGGGGCCAACCCAACGCAACTAACCACTCACTGCATTTGCTTGGTGTCTTGTCTCTGCTTTGGTGCTAAACTTATCACTCAATTCCCTCTCTTACTGTAACTCTTGCTGTCTCTCTCTTACCCGCCTCCTCTGAGTTCCCCCCTCCCATTTGACCTGCATTCATTTTCCTCTCTTCCCACACCCACCTCTCCTCCCTCCCTTCGCCTCCTCTTTCCTCCTCCTCCTCCTCCTCCTCAAACCACCTTTCACTTGTCAAGGCTTGGTCCTTGAATGAATATTGGCTGATATCGCTGCTTCCATTTCCTTCGTGTTTTCCTTCCCTCTATCTTCGTCGTAGCGTCGTTGTCCGTCTCGTTGCTCTCTTTCTTTTTCCGTCCACGTCCACGTCGACCCGTTCCCGTGTTCGCCCGTTCGAAAAGGCTCATCACCTCAGCTCCCCTTTCCATCTCTTCCCTCTCCGCCTTTTTTCGCCCATCCGCTCGGATTCTCACGGTCGGCTTCCCCTCAATCATCCACCTCCCTCCCTCATCCCATCTTACTTTTGTAAGATTTCTTCTGGTCTATACCTGGTAAGTCTTCATTCGCTCCCCCCCTGGTACTTTCCCTCACCGTGTCACGCCTGCGTTGTTACTGCTTCTTTGTTTGGGGGCCGTGGTCAACCTCCCCCACCCCATTTGCCTGCTCCACGTCCGTCCTATTCACTATCTAAGCGCCCATCTGCATGCTGTGTTTGGTGATTGGACATCCTTTACAACACATTCCATTCCTTCCTTTCATACTCAATTGTGTCTGTTGTCGTGTCTGCAACATTATCAACTGCCTTCGTCCTCCTGCCTCGACCGGGTTTGTGGCTAATCGTTGATTTTTCTAGCACAGTTCGTCAAGAGATCGATCACAGCCGGTTGCTGTGACTACATCTGATCAAAATGACGACTATGGTGAGTGATCTCCACACACCTCTCCCCAGCATGGCCATTGCTAACGACACATCAAGGATTTGCGTGTCGGTAACAAATACCGCATTGGCCGCAAGATCGGCAGCGGTAGTTTCGGTGATATCTACCTTGGTATGTAACGTTCGATCCGGAATCGAATACCCTCTACTGACTGTCTCCCAGGCACCAACATCATTTCCGGCGAGGAGATCGCTATCAAGCTCGAAAGTGTCAAGGCCAAGCACCCGCAGCTCGAATACGAGGCCCGTGTCTACAAGTCTCTGGCCGGTGGTGTCGGTATTCCTTTCGTGCGTTGGTTCGGTACGGAGTGTGATTACAATGCTATGGTCATCGACCTTCTTGGTCCCAGTCTGGAGGACCTTTTCAACTTTTGCAACCGCAAGTTCTCGCTGAAGACTGTGCTCCTTCTCGCCGACCAGCTCATCTCTCGTATCGAGTACATCCACGCCAAGTCTTTCATCCACCGTGATATCAAGCCCGACAACTTCCTCATGGGTATTGGCAAGCGTGGTAACCAGGTCAACGTGATCGATTTTGGTTTGGCCAAGAAGTACCGCGACCCGAAGACTCACTTCCACATTCCCTACCGCGAAAACAAGAACCTCACCGGAACTGCTCGCTACGCCAGTATCAACACTCACTTGGGTGTCGAGCAGTCCCGCCGTGACGACATGGAGTCTCTCGGCTATGTCATGCTCTACTTCTGCCGTGGTACTCTGCCCTGGCAGGGCCTGAAGGCTGCTACCAAGAAGCAGAAGTACGACCGTATCATGGAGAAGAAGATGACTACGCCTACCGAGGTTCTGTGCCGTGGTTTCCCCAACGAGTTCTCCATCTACCTCAATTACACTCGTTCCCTGCGTTTCGATGACAAGCCGGATTACTCATACCTCCGCAAGATCTTCCGCGACCTTTTCGTTCGCGAGTCCTTCCAGTATGACTACGTCTTCGATTGGACCGTCTACAAGTATCAAAAGAATGCCGCCATGATCGTGGACGCCAACAAGAAGGACAAGGAGGCTGAGGAGCAGCAGCGCCGTCAAGGTGTTCCTGCTGCTGCACCCATGGGAACCCCGGGTGCTGCCGCCAAGCCTGGTGCTATCTCCAGCCAGCGCCGCAAGGTCATCGAACGTGGAACTCTTGACAACACCCCGGACACCAACCGTGCTGTCGGAGGGAGTGACAGGATGTGAGTATCTGAAACCTAGGTTCCGTTGTAGGGAACCCCTTTCCTCTGCGTTTGGTGCTTTGCTATATGACCCTGCACGTAGAGGTCGACTTGAATTCTGGAATCTGACTAATCTCATAGTCTTCGGCGTTAGGCTGCGTTCTGCTTCAAGGGTTGCTGCTTCAGGTGCTTTTGCCGCCCGTAGCCGTACGAAGCAGGACGATGGGTACGGTGCTCAGTGGTACTGATCTGTGCGACCTAGCAGTGTAGCTTGATCTTTTCTCTCGGGATTCCGTCCAGCTTCCTGCGTGTTGACACTGTTCTATATCTATCTTGAGGAGCCCAGGCTTATCGACGATACTGGTGACCTTTTGCAGCCTGCAGTCAACCTTTCGGACTTACTCGCCAGGGGTGTTCCCTTTTACCAATCTTTCTTTACTACTTTCCTTACTGCATTCTCTGTTGGCCCGTTACCCGTTCAAGATCGTCTTCCGGTTCGCCGCTTCGATCCGTCACGTTTTGTTGATCGGCTGTCTCAGGCCCTTCCGTGGAAAAAGTGCTGTTCTTCGCGTTCGAAGAGCGAGATACCATTCATTGATGGAAGGGCCTGGATGGCCGACTGAAAACGTTCTAATTGTGGCTATTTTACGTCTCACCATCTCGGTCCTCATGGTTACTCCTCCGATCATCGTTCAGCCTGTGAAGACTACATCCAGTGACCGGGATGGCTTGACCGAAGGAGATTGCAAGAACGAAACAACCTGTTTTCAAGCACAACAAATTTCATCCGAGACCAGCCACTGTTGCCCGACAATCTCTCCCGGCCTCTCGGACTGTTCTGCCCTACAGTTCCCCTTCTATATCGATTGCGTGCTTTTTGTCATCCGTGATTTTATTTCTTATTGTTCTCAGACTGTCATAATGTTGTTATTGACGCATCAGTGGGGACGTTGAAGTTCAGGGGAAGGGTATGTGGAAGGTGAAGAAGATGGCTGTTTCTTTGGTGGTCTCCGCGCTTTCGTGCTATGTTTTTCGGTCATGCAGTGTGGGTCTTAGACTTGACGGCGGACTAGAGTCAGCATACAGAGCTTCGGGCAGCCAGGGAAGGAGCACGTCTCGGCATATGGGTATTCGGCGACGGAAAATGGTTAGGGTCGCTTCCGGGGTGGTTTCTGCGTCGATTCACGTTGTTTCACTGATGATGTTTCATGTTACTCTGCGTTCTATCTAAACCTCACTCAATCACATATCACCAGGGACAGTCAGAGGAGGGCTGCTGCACGTTGCTGATGGACTTGGCAATGTTCGGGCATCAGCATGCTCGGGTCACGTCGGTAGCTCCAGCCTCGCCTCTAATCCTCGAATCCCACAGATTGTTATTCTTGAGCAATTGGTATCCCTTTTTTTTTTTTTTTTTTGGTAGAAATGTAGTGTTTCCGGTCCCTCAGATTGGAAGTTGTTACTATTTATTGTTCAAATAAGGACGGAGGGATAAGGTGGCCCGATCAAACCAATGACAGCGGGGGGCGTGATCGGCCCTCGGGCCTCTGAGCCGCCCCTCATTGCTTTTCCTGCCTTTCTTTCGATTGGTTTGGTGGCTTTTGATGGCCCTGCCCCCATCCAGTCTAGACTGCCTTAGGTAAAGGTAGTCCTCCGACCGAGTCTCCGTAGGTAAGCCCCCTCCGTGGACCAGGCCCCGTTCTTCTTCATCGATTCATCCATCACCATCTCCGTTCCATTTTATCCCGACTCTCCTCTCGATCATTCTTGGCGTCAGCCTTTCCTCTCCCGTCGGATCCTCCTCGATTATTTATCAGCATTTATCAGCAATCAAAAGAATCCCGTCGAATTCAACTGCAGGAGAGATGGATTACTCCTTCTATTCTACTCCCAACTCGCAGCAGCAGCCTTATCCACTATACAACCTACACGGGCTGCCCACTCCGGACCAAGTGCCTCGTGCTGAAGATGCCCAGGGCACTTTTCCTCATCTTGTTCGCAGCCTCTTCCCCCTCGAACCCCATTTTAGAAGCAGTGACCTAATTGAGCCATTTCATCAGGGATCACATAATTACCAGTCCTTCGATCCGAGTTTACGCTTTACGGATGCTCATGGCATTTCTTCTTTTGTCCCTCCCCCGCATTCGCCGCCCGAATCCCTGACCAAGCAATCGGTGTCCAGCAACGATGTCGCCAACCCCAGCTTTGACCGGGCTTCCCTTGAGGCTGATGACTTCCCGGTCGACTTCAACCCGGGCCGAAGTAGCAGCGAGGAGAAGGATAGCGTGACACCAGCACAGTCTAAGCGGAAGGCACAGAATAGAGCTGCGTATGTGAATCCCTACTCCGTTGGACCTTGGTTGCCCTGCGGGGTGTTCTCAATGCGAGGGAGCCTTGCCCGCTGACTAATGGTTTGCTCTTGGGCAGTCAGCGCGCATTTCGCGAACGCAAGGAACGGCATGTGCGCGAGCTTGAGGAGAAAGTCAACAATCTGGAGCAGGAATCCAACACCCTGATGGCGGACAACGAGCGACTCAAGCGCGAGCTGGCTAGATTTACCACGGAAAATGAGATTCTCAAGGCGACGTCGGGCTCGTTCCGGCCTCCTAATCAGCAATCTATGGGCTCGGAACCGACGACGACTGGACCGCTGCAATATTCACCGACCGATTTCAACCCGACCTCCGACTCGACGGGTGAGCTTCCGCCGCGCCACAGAGTGACCACCTGTCAGGTCACCGGCGAGCGGCTCCTGGACGCTGGAGCCACCTGGGAATATATTCAAGAACATGAGCTTTTCAAGCGAGGGTCGCTGAACATTGCCGACGTTTACCAACGGCTCAAGGGCGCAGCTCAGTGTGATGGGACCGGCCCGGCCTTCCGAGAGAGTGAGGTGCGCAAGGCCATCGAGGAGAGCTCTGCCGCAGGCAGTGACGAGTTGATATGATATCCCTGTTTTCTAGCGTAGACATTCTTTTTCTCTCTCGTTCATTTTACTTTATACACCCATCTACTTGCGAGTTTGATTTCTGGATGTTACTGATAAATCTGGCGTTCTGCTTGGGATATGATGGGACGTCCGATTGGACGCATCACTAACACACTTACACGAGCACTGGTCGGCAGCGTTCGTGCTCTCGGAAGACATGGGCGACCTCATCTGTTCGACTTCCTTGGCGCTGAAAAGGAGATTATAGGAGTATCACAACGATGCTGTGGTCGTTTGATCCGCAAAGTATATATACTTGTTATCTAGGCCATTTTTACGACTCCTGCGAATATAGGCCTTCATACTGATCACCTACCATGAGCTGTCTCAGCCTGCAATGTTGCTTATAAATCATGGTCGGCGACCGCATTCGAAGGTTCTATTTTAAGTAACTTTCTTCTTGGTCATCTCATCGTCTTGATCTTAACATAGGCCAAGTATGAGCGTAAAGAGCCAGGCAAGCATTTCCATGGTAGGAAAGCTGAAACAAGTATAAGGACGGCAAGAGCAGAATGCTCAAAGCTGAAAGCCTTCCATTCTCCCGAGCCCAGCTCCGGAAGTGCAATATGGTTGCTACATGTGCCCATCTCAACGATAGGACTGCCGCCTCAATACCTAAGGATGTATCCATCCCGTAGGTATGGGAATTTTCCGTGAGCCCCGTCGTTGATCTCGGTCACGATCCGCCCGTCCCAATTGAGACGAAAGAGCATGTCTTCCGATATTGCGACGCAGCGTCTAGTCCCAGTCGTCATCGTCATCCTGGACCATAGGCCGGATGGACTTATTCTTAGCCATAGCCGGGCGTTCATCATCCGATGAGTCCGATCGCTTCTTCAGGCGAACGTCACTCTCTTTGAGAGCACCTAGATCCAGGAGCAGTCTCTCGATGTCTGTTCACCCGCGGTTAGTGGCGTCTGCGAATAAGATACACGAAGGTCAGCAGTAGACCCCCTCTCTTACCTTCTACAGTCGTGCGCGGACCCTTGAGTTCCCGCAAGGTCACCAGTTGTCTCTTAATTTCGGTGTTCCGATAGACCAGGATAGTGGGCGTGTTGCGCTCGGGATAGCCCTCGATGCACATGTTGGCCCGGATCTCGCAAAACTTGATATCTCCGTACTTGGCCGCCAGGGTCCGCCAGAGTTCCGTCAACCGTTGCGACTCCACGTTGCCGCCGGTCGAGGAGAGATGGACCAAGACAAAGCAGTTGTTCGAGGCCTCTGTTACCTCGCGGGCGTAGTCGACCTTCTGGAGCGGATAGACTTGGTTGTGTACACTCGTTTGCTGCAGCGTCGAGAGCTCGGCTAGTCGCTTCTGACTGTTGTTTGACAGTTCACGTTAGTTTTTTGGGAAGTCTTCTGATCCCGACTGGACATGTCGATATCGAGTGAGAATCCCCCCCCCCCCCCGGGGGCTGCTCGCATGGTCACAGTACCGGTATTGTTCCAGAAATGCCTCGTCTTCCTCGTCCTCTAGCTCATCCAGCTCATCTAAGTCCTTGTCCTCGAGTCTATTCTCATATGCCTTGCGTTCCGCTTCGATCAGCGCCTCTTGGATCAACGGTTCGGGGTCCTTGGGCTTCTCCGGGATGATGCCATGCTTGCGGAGGATATCGTTCCTGCGGAGGTGGGTGAGCCATGCAGTTGAGGGGATGGTGGTCAGAGAATTGCTGACCATTCGGTATCCTCATTGGGATTGACTTCGACCTGCATTGTGAATAGTGCGATTCAATGTATCTGACGAACAGGTTGACACGATTCAGCAAATGACATACACATGATGTTGGAGGGGGGGGGCATATCTCAATGCCGCATGTTTGGAGTGTTTGCACCCAAGGGGGGAAAGCAGCCACACCGCCCTGTGGCTCAGCCGCCCACAGAAACGCGGAAGGCCACCTGGAGATTGTGTTGGCCGCCGGGCAGGAACGAGGAGGAGCTGCTGCTACTGTACTTACGGCTCCCGCTGCTACTACTGCTACCACGGCTACTACTACTGCTGCTACTGCTTCCAGTCTGGCCCCAAAACATCCTCCACCTCCTCCACCTTCTGCCCTCTCAATTGTCCCTGTTGCTTCGCGACTTCTCCCTCGGGACGGGCACCACTTGCTGATTGCTTTCTTTTGGCCTTCTTCTTTTCTGTCTCTTCTTTCCTCCTCGGAAGGATAATGAGGGCGCCGTAGTGCTTAATCCACCGCCTGCACAACGTCCGAACCGTCATACGAAACCCGCCCTTATTCAAAGCCACCATTGATTGATCCATCCTTCCACCCACCCCCCACCCACTATCAACCACCTTCACCTCCTACGGGGCTTCTCCCTTTGCTAGTCTGAAGACCGCAATATAACCTCATTGCTGCTGCGGCAATCCCTGCAGCCCATCAGTCATCATGAGTTACGTTAAGAAAGATGAGGACGCCGACCAGACCATGATCAAGTTGGACCGGACCTCCGTATTTCAAGATGGTGAGCCTCTTCAGTCCTCTCTTTGTGTTACACACTCCTGCAACCGTCGCATTCAAACTCGATAATCCTTACTGACGACGGTCTTGCACCACTTGCGTTGGATTAGCCCGCTTGTTCAATTCCTCCCCGATATCTCCTCGGACATGCCGCACTCTCCTGACCAAGATCGCGGTCCTCCTGTTCACTGGGGAGCAGTTCCCCACGAATGAGGCCACCACCCTGTTCTTCGGCATTTCGAAGCTGTTCCAGAATAAGGACCCCTCCCTCCGGCAAATGGTCTACCTGATCCTGAAGGAATTGGCAAACACCGCCGAGGATGTGATCATGTCGACCAGTATCATTATGAAGGACACGGCTGTGGGCAGTGATGTCCTCTACCGGGCGAACGCCATCCGTGCCTTGTGCCGCATCATCGACGTAGGCGCCGACCCTATACTCTGAATTACGAAAGGAAGTAGCTGACCGTTGTCGAACCTATAAAGGCCACCACCGTGCAAGGTATCGAGCGATTGATCAAGACCGCCATCGTTGATAAGACCCCGTCAGTTTCCTCCGCAGCCCTGGTGTCATCCTACCACCTTCTCCCTATCGCGCGTGATGTCGTTCGCAGATGGCAGAGTGAGACTCAGGAGGCAGCATCTGGCGGCAAGCAGTCGACCGGTTTCCTTGGTTTCGGCGGCAGCTCCCAGTCCCACGCCATCTCGCAGTCGAACTTCATGACCCAGTACCACGCGATCGGACTCCTGTACCAGATGCGCTCCCACGACCGGATGGCCCTCGTCAAGATGGTGCAGCAGTATGGTGCGGCCGGGGTGGTCAAGAGCCCTGCTGCGCTTGTTCTTCTGGTGCGATTGGCGGCCAAGTTGGCGGAGGAGGACCCTGGCTTGCGGAAACCGATGATGCAGATGCTTGATGGCTGGCTCCGACACAAGCACGAGATGGTCAACTTCGAAGCGGCCAAGGCTATTTGCGATATGCGCGATGTCTCCGACGCGGAAGCTTCCCAGGCTGTTCACGTCCTGCAGCTGTTCCTGTCCTCGCCTCGCGCGATCACCAAGTTTGCGGCCATCCGAATTCTCCACAACTTCGCCTCCTTCAAGCCCCACGTGGTCAACGTCTGCAACCCCGATATCGAGTCGCTGATCTCGAACTCCAACCGCTCCATCGCTACCTTCGCCATCACTACTCTCCTGAAGACGGGCAATGAGGCTAGCGTCGACCGCCTCATGAAGCAGATCTCCGGTTTCATGGCTGATATCACTGATGAGTTCAAGATTACGATTGTTGAGGCTATCCGCACCCTTTGCTTGAAGTTCCCCAGCAAGCAGGCCGGTATGCTGGCCTTCTTGAGCGGCATCTTGAGGGATGAGGGTGGTTATGAGTTCAAGCGCAGTGTCGTTGAGAGCATGTTCGACCTCATCAAGTTCGTCCCTGAAAGCAAGGAAGACGGTGAGCTTTCCCTTTGTGTTTGCAATTGTGACTCAGACTAATTACTTCACAAGCTCTTGCGCATCTGTGTGAGTTCATTGAGGACTGCGAATTCACCAAGCTGTCCGTGAGAATTTTGCACCTGCTCGGTGTGGAAGGCCCTAAGACGTCCCACCCCACCAAGTACATCCGCTACATCTACAACCGCGTCGTTCTCGAGAATGCTATTGTCCGGGCTGCCGCCGTGACCGCTTTGGCCAAGTTTGGCGTTGGCCAGAAGGACCCCGAGGTCAAGTCGAGTGTCTCCGTTCTGCTCACCCGCTGCTTGGATGATGTTGATGATGAAGTCCGTGATCGCGCCGCTCTGAACTTGCGTTTGATGAGCGAGGAGGATGAGAAGGCTTCCCAGTTCATCAGCAATGGTAAGTCCTGCCTGGCATATCGCGGTCAAGTTCGAATTGTGCGCTGACGGTTGCAGAATCGATGTACTCCCTGTCGACGTTCGAGCACCAGCTCGTCATGTATGTGACGTCGAATGACAAGCAAACATTTGCTGCGGCCTTTGACGTCTCCACGATCCCGATCGTCACACAAGAACAGGCGTTGGCTGAGGAGCGGACGAAGAAGCTCACCAGCGCGACACCCACGCTCAAGGCACCCACCACCGGGCCCCCGAAGAGCAAGGCCAACGGAGTGGCTGAGGCGGCTACCGTGGCTGTTACCCAGAAATACGCCGAGCAGCTGATGCAGATCCCCGAACTCAAGGAGTATGGCACGTTGCTCAAGTCCTCTGCTCCCGTTGAACTTACGGAAAGCGAGACTGAGTATGTCGTCACCGCTGTCAAACACGTTTTCAAGGAGCACATTGTTCTGCAGTACGATATCAAGAACACTCTCCCCGATACCGTTCTGGAGGACGTGACCGTGGTCACCGTTCCAGAAGAGGAAGACATTCTGGAAGAGGAGTTCATTGTTCCTGCCCCCAAGCTTGCTACCAACGAGCCTGGTATTGTCTATGTCACATTCAAGAAGCTTGCTGGCGAGCACAGTGTCCCTGTTACTTCGTTCACCAACACTCTCAAGTTCACCAGCAAAGAGATCGACCCCACCACTGGCGAGGCGGAGGAATCTGGATACGAGGACGAATACCAGGTTGAAGACTTGGACCTTACGGGCAGCGACTATATTATTCCTACTTTCGCCGGCAGCTTCGACCACGTATGGGAGCAGACGGGTGCCAACGGAGAGGAGGTCAGCGAGACTCTTCAGCTCAGCAACATGAAGGGCATTGCCGGTAAGCACATACTTCCTTACAGTCAACTGAGAGCGATCCAGGTGCTAATTGCCGGACAGATGCTACGGAACAACTTATCTCGACTCTCTCATTGCAGCCTTTGGAGGGCACCGATGTAGCGCTCAGCAACAGCACGCATACCCTGAAACTGTTCGGCAAGACCGTGACCGGAGGCCGGGTGGCTGCACTAATCAAGATGGCTTTCTCCAGCAAGACTGGAGTAACGACCAAGATCACCGTCCGGGCGGAGGAAGAGGGCGTTGCCCCGGCTGTGATTGCGTCCGTTGCCTAAATGCCTGTGGTCAGTTGTGTTGTGTAAATTTTTTGTAATGGAGGCATGTTCTTGAAAAGGCGCGCATCTAATTGGCGACGAGTCCTGCATTATGAGATTTTTGAAGTCTTCTCTTTACTATATTTTTCTCTACGTTGTTGTTCTCCCCCCTGAACCTTTCTACTTTATATTCCACCCAACAATCCGAATGTCTTCTTCTTTTCTTCGTCTTCTATAATCCTGGTGTTGAGTTTAGATGCGATCAAAATTCTTGCTACGTAGGCGTACCGATCACGTCCCGTGGAGTCTTAGTTGCTGTTGACTCTTTGTTCTGTGACAGCAACCAATCTCAGGTTCTTTTTTATGCTTCTACCTTCTCATGCGTGAAACACTTATCTGAGTTAACTTCACAATTCGCGTACTAATCTTCTGTCCGAGAGTACTTTTCTATCTGAGAGTAGTACTCGATGGATTAATGACGGATGCCAATCCCAGCCCAGTAACGGGGTCCGAAAATTCACAGTATTGTGTAGTGTACTTGGGTATAGCAAGAAGAGAGCGCGAGTCCTATATCGTTAGGACGAGAGGTATCTTCAATTTCTTCATCTCTCATAAGCACTAAGCTGGAGTCGTCGAGGCTCCGAAACGAATGAGTATACATACATACATATATACATACATACAATCCGCAACTATACCGTAAGCCCTTTTAAAGGTAACTAGGAATCAAATCTTTTGGTCTGTGGTGATGCGGGATCCAAGGTCGAATCGAGGGTAGGCGAATGCTGACAGATGTTTTGCATGGCGGGTGATGAAGTTAGAGGTTTGGATGGAAGGATGGTACTTTTTTCGGGTGTTGGTCGTGCAAGGTTCTTCGTCTTCCTTTCTTGGAGGGGTGTATATCTTTTGGTGTGGTGGGGGGGAATTTGTCTGTCGTGTTAGATATATATATTGGTTTATAGTGTCGGCTGTGTTGGTTTGTAGTGTGGGTTCGGGAAGATGAGGGACAGGGTATATATTTCACATGTCGTATGGATCGAGGTTCATGTGCAGACTCGTGGAGTCTTGAGATAGGTGAACACCATCGTGTGTTGGAGGGGATTATACCGGGGGGGGGATTGTTGGATGTTATGTTCGGAAAGAGGGTTTTGTTTCAGAGGTAGTAGACACCGATATCATCATCGTCGTCGTCGTCGTCGTCGTCGGCATCGGCATCGTCATCGTCATCAACAGCTTCATCCTCATCAACAGATGTAGGTGGCGACGGAATTCCCCCGACACCGATCTGACTATTCTGCTGCTGCTGCTGTTTCTTTGTCTTGGAAAACCGACTCCGCAACACCGCATCGATCTCCTCGACCTCCCCGCCCTTCAACTCCCACGCCTCGGAGATCCCCACGGCCCGCACGTGGGCCAGCCCGTTCTGCAGCGCGTGCACGAGCGTCCCCGGCGTGAAGTACATGAGACTGGCGGCGGTGTCCTCGGAGCACGGGCGGTCGAGCTCGAGCGTGCGCCAGGCGACGGGCTGACGGAGGAGCTGCGCGCGCTCGTCCAGGTTCTCGAAGAAGGTGAAGTCGACGGCGTCGCCAGGGACGCTGAGGTAGTCGAGGTCCGGCAGGGTGAGCGGCAGGCGGTTGACGAAGGTGAGCGGGAGCCGGTTGGACGGGTCGATCTTGAGGCGGCGCAGCGTGGCGGCCGGCAGGGTCGGGTCGCTGAGGAGCAGCGTCGTCAGCGGCGAGTCGTCCAGGTCCTTGCAGTCTTTCAGGATCAGGCTCGTCAGCGCCGCCGGCCAGCTGAAGTAGCGCGCCAGCGCCGGGTTGGCCGCGAAGTCGCCGGTGAGCTGCAGGTTCTGGAGGCGCGGGGGCCACGGGATCGCGGATGTGGCTGTGGAGGGTGCGGTGGATGGAGGCGGAGGGGTGAGGTGGTGGGTGCGCGGGAGGCGGAGGGTCGTCAGTCTGGTGAGGTGGCTGAGCGCGCGCTTGAATTCAAGGAAGGGGAAGGAGTCGCCGACCAGGGAGAGGTCCAGGCTTTGGAGTTTCGTGCACTTGGAGAGGGCGGGGAGGCTGTTGATTCTGTGGGTTGGTTGCGATGTGTGTTAGTTTGTGGGGGCAGATGAGAACGGTTGGATGGGGTTTAGGATGTAGGTTGGCGTACGCAAATGATACACGCGGTGCAGAGAAGACGACTAGATTTTCTTTGACTTTGCCCAGAAGTCTTGCTGTTAGGCTCGGAGAGCTGTGATGGACGAGGCCGCTCAGATCGAGTCGGCGCACGTAGGAGCCGAGCTTCAGCTTGTTTTTGCGCGCGACATGGAGCGGAGGGCTGATGGTGGCTGCGAATTGGCTGAAGGAGGACCCGAAGCGTAGTATGGGTTTTTCGTAGAGATATGGGATGGCGGCTGAGTACCACTGTCGCGAAACGAGGCAGCATGCATAGAGAGTTGCCTGTCGACGATCTGCTTTATCTGGAGTGTTGGAGACATAGGACATAATCTGCACGACTATCTCCGTGGGGAGATAGATCTCATGCAACGTGGAGGCGGTCATGATGGGTAGATGAAGGTCTTTCCATAGTAGACTCTATATGTATGTGTATTTATTCTTTAACAATCTTGAAAATGCAAAGAAAGGGGTGAAATTCGATTGTCTGTTTATGCTTGCTGTGATGGCGCAGAGCGGGAATTGCGGAGGAGAGAAATTTGATGATATCATTTGAGCGATAAGGGAATCTCCCGCATTCTCTCCGCCTTCGCTCTCCGCTTGTCCTCCACCACTGCTCCTCCTGTTTGTTAGGATTCATAAGGTGCACAACCATTGAGCGTGATTTCTCTCCTTGTTCACTCTCAATTGCTATATATCAGACATCACAATCGGTTCATCATGCAATCGACCTCCCTCCGGCGGTCCATTGCGCTGCTCCAGCGTGCTTCTACCCGGTCGTGCATCACTGCAGGCTCCGGTCGTCGGGCTATCCAGACCGTCAGCTCTCAAGCGAACATCCCCGACTTTGCCTTCGCGTTTGAGTGAGATAGGGAGAATCGGAAACTGGAAAATACGAGCTAACTCAATGCTAGTATCGATGGCGTCCTCCTACGATCCTCCAAGCCCATTCCCGGAGCAGCTGAGTCATTGGCTTTGTTGAAGGAGCAGAACATCCCGTTCCTTCTGTTGACAAACGGCGGCGGAAAGCACGAAACGGAGCGAGTGGCTGAGATCAGTGAGAAGCTGAAGGTTCCCTTGGACGCCGAATTGATCGTCCAGAGTCATTCGCCCTTCGCAGAGCTGGTGCATGGGACGGAGGGTCCAGGCCCCTTGGAGAATAAGTGCGTGTTGGTGGTGGGAGGAGAGGGCGACCGCTGTCGCCAAGTGGCACACCAGTATGGCTTCAAGAATGTGGTGACCCCTGGAGACATCTACATGGCAAACCCAGCCGTCTGGCCTTTTCGGTCGTTTAAGGACTACTACGAAAAGATCTCCCAGCCCTTGCCGAACCCGAAAGACCCCAGTGATCCTTCCAAGGGGCTGAAAATCGATGCAATCTTTGTCTTCAATGACCCGCGCGACTGGGCTCTGGATGCGCAGATTATCACCGACCTCTTGCTCTCGTCGCAGGGTGTCATCGGAACGCTTTCGGAGAAGAACGGCCGGACTGATCTTCCGAACCATGGCTACCTACAGGACGGCCAGCCGCACCTGTACTTCTCAAATCCTGACCTGTGGTGGGCTGCGAGTTACCATCTGCCTCGTCTTGGCCAGGGCGGATTCCGCGAAGCGTTGGAGGGTATCTGGACGGCAGTGACCGGAGGTCCCGACAAAGGTGTGAAGCTCAAGAAGACCGTCATTGGCAAACCTTATCAAGGAACATATGAGTTTGCGGAGCGTCAATTGTTGCGCAACCGGGAGCGTATGTTTGGCGCCAATGTTCAGCCGCCCTTGAGAAATGTCTACATGATTGGTGACAACCCGGAGTCGGACATTTGCGGTGCCAACAGCTACCGCAGCGGACATGGTAGCAAGTGGCACTCCATTCTCGTTCGAACTGGTGTTTACAGTGGCGGAGAACCGACCTGGACCCCTACAACCATTGTCGACAACGTTCACAGAGCGGTCGAGTGGGGAATCAAGACTTCTCAGTGGCGAGCATGAAGGAAGAGTGAGCTGGCTTGGGTTTATCATGAACATGCTTAGCGAACTGCATATATTTTGTATCTATAGACTTCCACACAAGCCCCCAGATGTGATTAGCGACAGACTTGTTAGACATTTAGACATATAAATTGTTCAATTTTTTTTTATAAGGATTATAGCGCTCTACTGGGCAGGGCCTAAGGTGGACGGGGGGCTTAAATAGCAGGCTGGTTTCTGGAGGTATACTTGATCTACTTGATTTCAGTTAGTTAGTTAGTTATGCTATACACATTAGATAAGCACTATATGCACATGTCACCGCCGCATCAGGTGATCACCCCTCCTAGGGTTTAGGGCAGCGGGGGTTGTCGGGCGGGGTGACTCAAAAGAGAAAGTTGGAGCTCTGCGACGCTGGATGCTCTTATCTGGTTCTATCGCTTTGTACCTCTTTTCTCCCCTCACCAACCCATCCTCATCGCGCCCACACCCGTGATCATGGCCGACTCCGAATTGCCCACCCGCCCCAAGCCCGAGGAGACCCCCGCCGCCGCCGCGGACGCCCCCGCGGAGGGCGCGGAGCCCACCAAGAGCGCCAGCAAGAGCGCCGCCAAGAAGGCCGCAAAGGAGAAGGCGAAGGCCGAGAAGGCCGCCGCGCGCGCTGCCCAGGAGAAGGCTCAGGCTGCCGCCGCCGAAGCCAACGACACTGCCAAGGGCCTGTACGGCCAGCTCCCCGAGTCCGAAGATGTCCTCCCCGCGACGAGATTCTCCGAGATCACCGACGAGCACTACGAGAAGGAGATCACGGTGGTGGCCCGCGTCGACAATGCCCGTGTGCAGAGCGCCAAGCTTGCCTTCCTGATGCTGAGACAGCAGGGTCAGAAGCTGCAGGCTGTCATCGCGGCCGCGGAGCCCATCTCGAGACAGATGATCAAGTTCACCGGTGGTCTCAACGTCAACTCGATCGTCCAGGTGACTGGTATCGTTAAGAAGCCCGCTGTTTCGATCTCCTCCGCTACCCTGAGCGACCACGAAGTGCACATCCGCAAGGTCTACATCATTTCCGAGGCCGCCCAGATGCTTCCCATGCAGGTCAAGGATGCCGAGAGACCGCCCCCGGAGACGACGGAGGAAGGACCCCAGGTCGATGCGGACGGCGCTCCCATTGTTACCCTGAAGACTCGCCTCGATAACCGTGTCCTCGATCTCCAGACCGAGACCAGCCAGGCTATCACTTGGATCTCCAGCGGTGTGGCCCAACTGTTCACCGAGTACATGATCAAGAGCGGCTCGCGGTGGATCTTCACCCCCAAGTTGGTGGGTGCTGCTACTGAGGGTGGTAGCAACGTCTTCGAGGTCAAGTACTTCAAGAGAAACGCATACCTCGCTCAGAGCCCCCAATTGTACAAGCAGATGTGTATCGCCGGTGATATGGAGAACGTCTTCGAGGTTGCTCCCGTTTTCCGTGCTGAAGACAGCAACACTCACAGACACTTGACTGAGGTACTTTTTCTTCGTGCCTATTTCACATGACTCACACTGATTGTGTTTAGTTCACCGGTCTCGATTTCGAGAAGACTTTCCGCGCTCACTACCATGAGGTCTTGGAGTTCGCCGAGGACCTCCTCGTCTTCATCCTGACTGAGATCAAGGAGCGGTACAAGGACCAGATCGCTATCATCCAGAAGTCCTACCCCAAGGCTGGTGACTTCAAGCTGCCCAAGGATGGCAAGGCCCTGCGTCTGAACTACATGGACGGTGTTGCGTTGTTGAAGGAGGCTGGTGTGGATGTTTCCGAGCAGGAGCGCTTCGAGAACGACTTCACCACGGCGATGGAGAAGCAGCTGGGCCAGATCATCCGTGACAAGTACGACACCGACTTCTACGTGCTGGACAAGTTCCCCATGGCCGTCCGTCCTTTCTACACCAAGGCCTGCCCGCAGGACCCTCGGTTCTCCAACTCGTATGATTTCTTCATGCGTGGTGAGGAGATTATGTCCGGTGCTCAGCGTATCCACGACATCAAGGAGCTGGAGGAGTCCATGGTCGCCAAGGGGCTCGACCCCAAGTCGGAGGGCTTCGAGGACTACCTCGCTGCTTTCCGCCAGGGATGTCCTCCCCACGCCGGTGGTGGTCTGGGTCTGAACCGTATTGTCATGTTCTTCCTGGGCCTGCCCAACGTCCGGTTGACTTCGTTGTTCCCTCGTGACCCCCAGCGTCTGCGCCCTTAGACGAAGACCGAGAGAGACGAGATTAGACCCGGATCTAACCCGGATAAAACAATATAATGGAGCGACGAGATTATTCATTATTTGGCTTGATCGTAATTTCTTTGTAGCGTTGACCAGAGGTGACACACGAGGCGCGAGTTGCATGTTACGGAGTAGTTCTAAGTAAGTTTCGGAGCCGAGGGAAAACTGCGGGTGGCCCAAGCTCCTCTCCGGCGGAATCTTATCATCAGCGCCGCGTTTAATTCTCCCTCCCTCCCAAGTCTGCCTTTCAACAGCAATGTCCAACATGCCCGACAAACGCAAACCGTCCATCTCAGCATCGGGTGCTTCGCCTTATGCGAAACGATCTCGCGCCTCGTACGCCGACGAGGGAGATGACGACGAGACGCGGCAGACGGTCACGCCGTACGAGCGCCCTCGCAACCATCCCGTATATGGACAGAAAAGCGCCTTTCCCGGGCTCGACACCGGCGGCGACGACGAGCTGTTCTACGGACCGGCGGAAGATGGATTGGAATATCTGCGAATGGTCCGGTAGGTTTAAGGCTGCTGGGCTGGTCTAGTAACCCGAAGCTGTGTGTGAGAAACTGACATATGATAATATAACCTTCCAGGTCCGAAGCCAACTCCCTCCCTTTCCTCTTCAATGCGCCACCAGCCACGACCTCGACCGCAATAGAGAATGCCAACCCTGATGTCAGCGACGACACGACGAATCAAGCAGACCAACCACACCCTCAAGCTACCGCTACCACTACTGCCGTAACCGCTACCACCGCAACTACGACTACAACCACCACCACCACCACCACAACCTCCCCCCCCCTCCTCCGCGAAGGAATCTACCAAGACGGCGTCTACTTCGTCCCCACGAACGCGAGCCAAAACCCCACGACCGGCCCGTCAGCTCCCCCCCCATCTCACCCACAACAACCCGCCGACATGGAAATCCTCCCCGCCCAATCCACCTATTACACCCTCCTGCACCACCGCTTCCTCCTCCTCCGCTCCATCCTGAAATGCACCCCGCCGCCCGACGCCATCGCCGCGCTGGACCACGACCACCCGATCTCGCTCCCGCGGCACTCCCGGAATGCGCGCCGCGAGTGGCGCCGGCTGCTGCTGGCCGTGGACCCGCAGACCGTGCAGCTGGCGTGCATGGACATGGAGAGCGTGCTCGGCGTGCTGGGCATCATGGCGCGCGTGATGTCGGAGAACGTGCGCAGCGGGGACGAGGCCAAGGTCCGGCGGATCGCGGCGTGGGCGTGGGGCCTGCTGGCCCGGTGTCGCGAGGTGGGCCAGTTGGGGACGGAGGAGGTGGGCGAGATTCGGGATTTGGGGAAGAGGGCGGTTAGGGTTTTGGGGCGGATGAGGGAGGTGGAGGTGGAGGATGGGAGGAAGGGGGCTGGTGGTGGTGGTGAGGAGGAGGAGGAGGAGGAGGAGGAGGAGGATGTGGAGGATGTGGATGTGGAAGGAGAGGCAGAGGCAGAGGCAGAGAGAGAGGGTGCTGGTACAGGCAATGAGGTTGAAGTTGATCGGGAGATGCGGGATGCTGATGCACACGCCAATGCGCATGCGGATGCTGACGCTGACGCAAGTGCGCCGCAAGCTGACCTTGATGAGTTAGAAGCTGCCAAGGCACGGTTACAGGCGAGTCTTGGGGGCGATGGCGCCGCTGATGATGAGGTACAGAACAACGATGCAGACGGCAACAGCGCTGCGTCGGAGGTGACGTTGCAGATTCGCGCGATGTTGGATATGGTCATCACAGTGGTGGGAGAGTACTACGGCCAACGGGACTTGTTGCAGGCGCGCGAGTTCTGGAGGGAAGTGACGGAGTGAAGATGATCTAAGCTGCATTTATTCTCGAGATACCCTGTTGCTTCATTTCTGGTTGTTTCAATGGACTGTACGGTACGGAGTACCGCTATACTCATCCAAATGCGGCCGATGATCGCCGGCCACTAAATTACGAGTAGCATTTGCCAAACACAACAAACATCCCCGGCAGAATTGGACCCGTTATCGTCATCGCTTCATCTCCACCGCTTCCTTATCTTCACTTCACCACCACTGCTCAGTTCAAGTGTGCACTCATACCTCCACCAAGTTATGTTTCCATCTCACCAACCACCGCTCTAAGACTCACTGAATACAACCCACCATGGCCCCGCCAGTAGAGATCGCCATTCCGACGACCAGCATCTCCACCACCTCCCCGCCCTTCACCATCTACAACATCACCCTCCGCCTCCCCCTCCGCTCCTTCACCATCTCCAAACGCTACTCCGACTTCACCACCTTCCACACCACCCTCCTGAACCAAACCAACGCCGCGCCCCCGGCGCCCCTGCCCCCGAAATCCTGGCTCTCCTCGACCGTCAAGAACGCCACCCTCCGCGAATCCCGCCGCGAAGGCCTAGAAACCTACCTCCGCGCCATCAACGAAGCCGACGACCCACGCTGGCGCAACTCGCCCGCCTGGCGCGCATTCCTCAACCTTCCAAGCCTGGGCCCCAACTCCACAAATGATCATCACAGCAGCAGCACGACGAGCGCGCGGCTGCACGCCGCCATCACGGACCCCGGCAGCATCAGCTCCATCAACGGCGATGTTCCAAGTAACAACACCATCACCGACCCGACCCTATGGCTCGACTGCTTCCGGGACATGAAGGGCCACCTGCACGACGCGCGGCTGCACCTGACGCGGCGCGACCAGGAGACGACGCCGCAGCGACAGCACGAGAGCTCGGCGCGGGCGAAGAGCAGCCTGGTGCGGGCGGGGTCGCTGATCGGGGCGCTGGAGGCGGGGCTCAAGAATTTCGCCTCGTCCTCCACCACCACCACCACCACCAACCCCTCCTCCGGCGAAGCAGCCCCCCGCCTCGGCGAAGCAGCCCCCCGCCTCGGCGACGGGGAAATCCGCCGCCGCCGGGACCTGCTCAGCAACGCGCGCAAAGAAAAAGACGGGCTGGAGGACTTGTTGAACGCGATGGCCGCCAAGAGCCGCATCGATTCCGCGGTGGCGTCGCTCGCGGACAAGGAGGCGCTGATGATGCCCGCGAAGGGAAAGAAGGCGGTGCGGGCGGCGGGCCGCGTGCTGGGCCGCGAGACGGAGCGCACCCGCGAGCTGGATAATTCCGGGGTGCTGCAGCTCCAGAAGCAGATGATGCAGGATCAGGATGGCGCGGTGGAGGAGCTGATGCGCATCGTGCATCGGCAGAAGGAGCTGGGCGTCGCGATTAATAATGAGTTGGTCGTGCAGAATGAGTTGCTGAAGTTGACGGATGAGGATGCCACGAGGTTTGTTTTTCCCATTCTTCTGGTTTGAGGGGGGTTGTGTTTTGGGATGAATTCTTTTTGCTAATCTTGGGTCTGTAGGTTGGGGGATAAGATTGATATTGGGAAGAAGAGGATTGGGAGGATTTCTTGAGTTGGGTTCGCTCGTTGTAGGATAGTTGTGTTATGGTGGGGATGGGTTGCAGGGCTTTGTCCTTTCCATCAGGATCTGGGGCTTTGCTTGTGGATACCTTTGCATATGCATGGTTTTTATCTGTCTTGTCAGTTTTAGCGGATCTTGTTTTTGGTTGTGGTTGTTGTTGTTGTCGTCATCTTGATAGCGATGACTTTCATCGTCTACTGCACTGTACTAATCTAGTAAGCACCCAGCGAGCATGGCATCCGTGTGACATGTTTGATGTGAATCTATTTGTTGATTATTCATTCCCTCTGCACCGCCCGCCCTAGTTGGCAGCACTCGCAGACATGAACGCCTTGGCCTCTTCCTCCGTGACCTCCGACTGATCCGACTGCGCTCGGTCGATCAGCCCCAGCCTACTCCGGCGGATCAACCACCACAGCTCCCGCCGGTCCCCGCCCAGCCGCTCCTGCAGGACCTTCTCCTTCAACTGCCGCAGGAAGTCGTTGTACAGCGCGGGCTCCTCGTAGGCCAGCAGCTCCTCGCGCATCGTGCCCATCCCCTCCGTGACGCGGTCGTAGTTGGCATCGCCCAAGCTATGGCGGATCTGATCCTCGAGGATCGCGCTCATCTGCTTCACGGCCTCTTTGATTGTCTCAATGTTCTCGGCCTGCGCCACGGTCTGCTTGAACTCCGGGATGGCGTTGTTCGGCGAGATCTTGGCCCGCTTCTCCTGGTGGAGCAGGGCGTCGACGTCCAGCCCCGAGAGCGGTTTCTCGGTCTCGCGCGTGCGTTTGCGGCCCTTGGCTTTGGGGGGTACTGTGATTCATACTGTTGTTAGTGGGATGGGGGGGGGTTTTGTGATAGTAGCAGGTGCAAACCTTTCTTCACGCCGGCGACGGCAATGAGTTTCTCTAGCTGTGGCTGGGATTTCTCGACCAGGTCTTGGGGCGGGTTCGAGAACTTGGTTAGCGTCTCTGACGGCGGCGGGATCGGTTTGTTCGGGTGGATGGCGCGGAAACGGATCGCTGCGTCGGTGCGGTGTAGGACTGGGGAGAAGGAATCCTCGATCGGGAGTGTGTCGACTGGGTCTCTGCGAGAGCGAGCGATGGGGAGGGGTGTTAGCTAGCAGAATTTAACCTGCCAGGTTTCGGTGGGTGGTATTTACCCGTTTTCATCCGTATCGTTGAGCTCCATGCCCAGCACGTATTTCTCCATTGCATCCATCAGGTCCTCGTTGGGTAGATTGCGATGCTGGGTGACCACTTTGCCGGACACGGTCAGGACCTTGTCGAGCGGCGGGAAGCGATACGTGCGGACGTCCTCCGCAAAGGGCAGCTGCGCTTCCAGGAGACATTCGTAGTCGGGCTCGATGGACGGGGCCAGCAGGACGACGATCGGGGGCTTGTTCTCCTTGACGACCAGGCGCGCCACGGCGTAGCATTCCAGCTCGAACAGCGCGTGGATGAACGAGGACAGCGCCAGCGCGGCTTTGTCGTTCGCGCGCTGCGCGATGATGATGTTCGTCGTCGACATGTGCATGTACCGGTCATACTGGAAAGCTCCCAACCATTAGTCTCGCTGGGCATATTTGTGCTGGGCACAGGGGGACGTACACGATCGCTCTGAACGAAGCCTAGCAGCTCCAGCGCTGCAAACGTCTCGAGGGTCGTGATGTTGAGGTCGGTTTCGCTGATATGCACGGCCGTTCGCCCATATTCATACCCCTTGGCGAGATCGCCTGGCTCCACGTCTCTCTTCCCACCCGGGGCTTCCTCATCGGGTACCTGATACGCTCGGAGGTTGCGTACATTCGTCAAAGAGTTGCCATCTGTTGGCTGGGACTCTTGCGCCGCAGCAGCCGCGGTGGCTGAGGATTCGGGTTGTTCCTGGGAAGCGGCGAGGTCGGAGCGTAGCACGAATTGACTTGCCGATGGAGGCTTCGCGGCGTGCGTGCGGAAGTATCGCTCGACGGGGATGCGGAGCGCAGTGTCGTATTCTTCTGGACTCCCGAGCTGCAGGAACCCTTTGAAGGTTGCGGTCACTCGGACGCTTTTGACTCGCGGGATCTGCAGCTCCGCCACGGCCTGCTCGAGGGTCCCGTAGGCTCCGTCGCAGTCTTCGGCTAGACTTCGCAGGATCGCTTCATTCTCTGCCTGCTCCGGTGTCAGTCTGATTGTCCTGACCCTCTGATGCGGGGAATCACCTTTTGCGGATCCTTGTCTTCTTCTTTTACCCCGTAGTCCGGATCATCGAAGTCAGGGCCCCTTAAACGAGGTTAGCACACCTGACAGAAACAGGAGGAGCATCCGCCACGAACAGGATGATGAGTTCGATATTGTCCTCCTTGATCTTCTTTGTAATCTCACTGAGACTATCCGTGTTCATCGGTCCTTTGCCGTTGGTGACTAGGACGATTCTGCGTTTGTACTTGAGTTTCTTGCAATGTATGATGATCATTTGGATCGCGAGCACGATGGCAGATATAGCTGGGCTCGTCAGTCAGAGCCCAAGGCCTTTCGATAGATCAGACCAGAGAGTGTGGGAGCATATACCGTCACCCTTGTTGGTTTTACTTGGGACTATCTTCTCACTCAACTCTCGAATATCAGGCATGAGGAACCTGTAATTGGACAGGGTCAGACAAAGGACTTCTGCATCGCACTAGCAGCGCTCACTGTTTGATGCCCGAGAACACGGAGATGTTGGCAAAGTCGGCGTCATCCTCCAAGTCATTAGAAGTGTCTGTTTGAAACCATCAGTCTTGTCTGCGTTGGCACCATCGCTTCGTGGGACTCACCGTCGGTTCGGAGCCCGATCACGCCGATTCCAGCTGTTTTGCGTCCGGTGGCCACCTGCAAACCATTATACGTTTATGTCAAAGACAAATTTTGGGAAAACCCATACCGTCCCACTGATACGGTCCCAGACATACTGCATGGCCCATTCGAGATCGGTCACTTCTCGGTCATGGTATCGCTTCCCCATGGACCTCCCCAGGTCCACGATATAGACTGTTGCTTCTTTGTCCGCCATGGTTGTGTGGCGACAATTACATGTCTTGGATTGGCGAGTAGCGACGAAGCTTTAAGTGCTTTCGGCAGAAGCGTAGGCAGACAAACGTCGTCGAGCTGGTGAACAGGCAGACGCGTGATATTTCCCCTTTGGGACGGAAGCGGAACGCGAAAGCACATGACATCATGTCCGCTGAGGTGCGTGTTTATTTGGGGATGAGTGCGTGGGAACTGTGTGCTGGTGGGAGGGTGGAGGGTGGAGGTGGAAATAGAAGGGCGGTATGATGAGGGGATATGGTGGCAATAAGAACAGCCGCCCGCCCCCGCCTTAGAATGCATCAATCAGGCAACTTATCTATCTGTATTCCTCGGCCCTTCAAATCCGAGAGCTGCTCCTCAGCAGTTACTGTACTTTCACAACCCATAAGCTTCCCTCTTTCCTCACAAGTGTAGATATTTATCACTTCACACAGCAACCGACAAAATGGTTGATCCCCGCCCATACCACGTTCTCAGGTTCGCACTCCCGAAAGAACCGAGATGTCTATCCGAAAGATCCGCTAACATAAAGGTCTACAGCTATGGCACCCTGTTGGGCGTGCAGATCTATCAGGTAGATACATAAAGCCGACTCTCATAGTCCACCTCAGCAAACTGACGAGTGAATCAAGTCCTTCGTGTCGGGAGTCATCGCGTTCAAGGCCCTGCCCCGTCCGCAGTTCGCGCAGCTCCAGACGGCCACGTTCCCCATCTACTTCTCTCTCCAGTCCGCGCTCCCTGTCGTCGTGGCGCTGACGGCCAGCCGGGCGGGACAGCTGCACGGCATCTCCGGTCTTTTGGAGGCTGAGAACCGCGGCACGCTCCTGTCCATGGCCACCGTCGCCATCGCCAGCTTCGTCAACTTGACCGTCCTGCGTCCGATGACGGTCAACGTCATGCGCGAGAGGAAGCACCAGGGTAAGATGTGCAACGATGGACTGTCAGTCCCCGATCCCAGGCATTTTTGCTGACGATGGGTGGCAGAAACCCGCGATAGCAAGAAGAGCTATGACCCGGCTCCCCATTCCAAGGAGATGGTCGCTCTCAACAAGAAGTTCGGCCGTCTTCATGGCATCTCCAGCTTGGTTAATCTGGTCTGTCTTGGTGCGACGGTCTACTATGGTGCTGTGCTCGGGAAGCAGTTGGCGTAGTTGTAGTCTGACTCGTCTGGTTTTCTCAAGGCCATTGGGGGGTGAAAAGGGGGGGGGGGGGGTTTGAAAGACCATTCCAAGACTAGGGTAGAGGTTGGTGAATGCAGCCGTTGATGCTTCAACCGATATTAGATGGACAATGGCAAATCCATGGTGAGAACAATGGGGTATCTATTTGTGGTTAGTAATAAGGAACTAATAATATGTATCTGTCTGGTACACAGTATCATAAATCTATTGACATCATTTTTCATTTTGACTTGTTCTGTTACTCAACCTAGTCCAACCAATTCTTATTAGCCAAGTGACACAGAACCATGTGATGTGATTGCACCAGTTCAATAGGTCTCAAATTGTCATCACTGCTCCTGTTCTTTAGTGTTGGTGACATTATTTGCTTCTGTGCTTCCGGCAGCCCTGCTTCTGTGTATTCGCATACCTAAATATTCATCTATCTAGTTGCTAGAACGGCATCGCATCCATGCAACGATAAATCACATATAATCGAGATCAAAATTCCGCCTTTCCGACATGCACAATCGCATCCTGCCCCGGGGTATCATGTTCTTATACTTCCCGCCAATCTATGCCCACAGACCAAAAGCAATTCCAGAAATGCGCCCATACAGCCACCGATTCAGTTAGGAAGGTACTTGCGAATGGCATCCTTGAGCGCACTGATGCGCCGGTTGGTATGCACAAAGTACTCGCGGTACATATCCAGACTCTCCTGCACGACCTCCTGCCGCACCCGCGATCCCGCGCAGATCTCCCGCATGCGGGTTTCCATCTCCTTCCGGAGGAATGGCTTACTCAGGGACGGATTATTCGGCATCCCCGCGAAGACGTTGTCGTAGCCCTCGACCAGGGCGATGCCCAGCTGCGTGGGGATCAGCTCCTTGACGGCGTTGCGGCCGCCGCCGCGCGTGTTGACGGCGACGTAGTGCCGGTCCTTGATCTTGGCGATGTGCTCGGCCATCGTGGCGTCGGTGCCGATGCCGTTGGCGTCCATCAGCGCGATGAGCTCGGGCTCCGTCAGATAGTTCGGGGCCGTGGTCTTGCCGTCGAAGATCTTGGCCTCCGTCGGCTCGAACTGCTCGCCCAGCTGGAAGTTCGGCAGCTGCTGGCTGCTCTCCCACTTGTCGTAGACGTAGACGTCCAGGTAGTTCCGTTCGAGGACGAGCAGGCCCTTGGCGTGGAACATCTCGTTGCCGTATTCGATTTCGATCTCCGTGGACTGACCTTTGGCATCTTCGGAGCAGCACGCGAGAAAGCGGCGCACGACGAACTCGTACACTTTTTTCTCGTCGGCGCTGAGGGCGGATGGGGAGACCCAGCAGACGGGGTGGATGGGAGGGTGGGCTTGGTCATTATGGCGGCCGGCTCGTGGGGTCCGGAAGCCGCCGTCCAGGAGACTGCAATGTCCCTATCAGCAGCGAACATAAAGATAATAACAAAATTGTGAGCTTATTGATCTTACTCTCGAGCGTATTGGCCCCAGTTCTGGTCTGGGAATTGCTTCTCGACCAGCTTCTTTAAATCGATGGCCTTGTCGAATTGGTCGGTTTCGGTACGTGGGTAGCTGATGAAACCCTTCGTATAGAGCGCTTCGGCAACCTGACGCTCGGGGTTAGCGGCGCGTAGTCCACTTTGAGAGTTGCTGATAGTGGCGATACCTTCATGATTGTCTGACTGTCCATGCGAAGGAAGCGACTGCCCATCATTTGCAAATCGACTGTCGTCAACGGCAAGGGCCGCCATTTACTGGTGGGTTTCTGATTGACTTTGGTGACCCTGGCCAATTTGGCGAGAAGGCACCGCTCAAGCATGATGGTCACGACGGCTCTGTCGAACAGATGCACACGTTTCCACAGGAAGTTCACTTTGATTCCTTCTCGTTGTAACATGACCTTGATGCCCCAGAATGTCTCAGGTTTGAAGTTCTTCACTCGTAAATAGCGATCAACTACAAAGCCCAGGGTGGGAAATTGACAAGATCCTACACATCGATCAGCAAGCTCCACCGGCAGAGACCGCACCAAGATAGTCACATACCATAGCTTACGATGGTATCTTCCAAAGCACTGGATAATGGCTTTAGCTGCAGAGTCAGAAGACGAGTGAAAGCGGCACCGATGCGGAGATCAAGCTCTATTCTCGCGGCCACTGCATTCGCTTGAAGATCATCAAGCTCCATCAGCGAGCGAGCAGCATTCAAGACGTGGCTATTGAACGGGTTAGTCCTGCCTCGCAACCAGTTGACCGACAACTTACGCTCTCTCAGTATTGCTGAACCTGGCCCGCTTAACGAGGATGCGAGCATTTCCTTCCTTTGCTTGCTTTCGAATCTCGGTTCCAATATGTTCACCTTCTCGATCGCAATCCGTCCAAATGAACAGAGCTTGGCTTTGTCGTGCTTGCTGCTGGATATTCCTTGCAATAGCTGTTTTGTCCTGTCGGATGGATCAGTTGCTCAACATCCAGAGATTTGAGATGATAAGACTGCGTACGGAAGATACAGCTTCATGAACCGGAGCCTCGAACAGGGCCCCGGGGGGGCAAGAGAGCCAGCTTTTGTACTCTCGCGCAAACTCCAATTCTGTCAGATGCCCGAGGACGCTGGTCATGGTGACATTGCAATGGCCCCATGTGCTCCCAAAGTTGAAATCGAACGAATAGTTCTTCACATATCGATTGCCGGTTATATTGTTCTACATCTACCTCAGCGATACGTTACAATGCCTATTTCAAGCCACTTACTGTTTGGAATGCGCCTCCAGACAAGTGCTGGGCCACGGCTTTGGCAATGGCAGGCTTCTCGGCCACACATAGGATCCTCGTCATGACAAGAAGTCTGGACCAGGGGAGACAAGATCAGCGAGTCTCCATGATACCTCTGTCTCAAAAGAAATCTCCTCCTGCAAGAATCGCTCGTCGGTCATTCCTCCTTGGAAGCAGAACCGGAACGCGCCAAAAGACACGCAAGAGTCACGGGAAGGAAATCACGAATTGGGACAGTACGGCTGGTTGCCTCAGGCTGGGATGTGCTGCCTCAGGCAAGAATGCAGCTCAAGTGGCCCAAGCTCCCTGGATATCCGAAAACGGCAAGGTGGCAGCTCTTCCTCAATTGTTTGTTGTTTTTCCCTCGATTGTTTAATCTCTCGCTTTTCCATCCTGCGCTCTCCACTCCCATGTGAGAGCTTCTTCCATCACCCCAGCAGCAAACTCGAATTATCACAAGCTCCAATCTCAATCTCAAGATGGCGCTACCGCTTCCTGACGTCAAGTCGGCCGTGGACTGTGCGTCCCTCAGCCAGACTGTCCTACCCTTCTTGTCGCAGCTTACCACCCTGCCCCAGCAGCTGCAGGTCGCTGCGGCGACCAAGGATGCGACCCTCCTGAAGGAGATCTACCTCACTACCAACCCTCTTATCTCGGCGCTTGGCTTGACCCTGGTGCTATCCGTGCTGTTCGTTATCACCTCCGAGATCAACCGCAATTACTCCCAGGTGGATCGGTGCTGGAGCATCCTCCCCGCTCTGTACAATGTGCACTTCGCTGTCTGGGCTCGCCTGAGCGGTCTGCAGACCCAGAGCCTGGACACGATCGCTATCTTCACGCTTCTCTGGAGTGTCAGTACCCCTCAAACCTCTCCCTCTTCGTTGTTACTTGTTACTAACATCCACGCAGGCCCGTTTGACCTTCAACTACTGGCGCCGGGGCGGCTACTCGATCGGCTCGGAGGACTACCGGTGGAAGATCGTGCGCTCGTGGGTCAACGACAACCGCTTCGTCTTCTTCCTGTTCAACATCACCTTCATCAGCCTGATCCAGCCTCTGCTGCTGCTCCTGATCACCGCCCCGTCCTACAACTTCCTCTGCCTGGCGCAGATCGCGGAGCACCGCTCGTTCGAGCTGCCCGACCTGATCTTCTCGCGCGTCGCCTTCTTCTTCCTCCTCATCGAGTACTTCTCCGACCAGCAGCAGTGGAACTTCCAGACCGCCAAGCACGCGTACCAGCAGACCGCCCGCATCCCGGAGAAGTACAAGGGCGTCTTCACGGAGGAGGACCTGGAGCGCGGCTTCGTGGTCAACGGCCTCTGGTCCGTCTCCCGCCACCCCAACTTCCTCTCCGAGCAGGCCATCTGGCTGACCCTGTACCTGTGGAACTGCTACCGCACCGAGTCCTACGTCCAGTGGACCGGCGTCGGCGTCCTCGGCCTGCTGCTCATCTTCCAGGGCAGCGTCCGCCTCACCGAGTCCATCAGCGCCGGCAAGTACCCCGAGTACCGCGAGTACCAGGCGCGCGTGGGCCGGTTCCTTCCTCGTCTGTCTGCCAAGCCCAAGTACAAGGGCAGCGGCAAGAAGAAGGCTCGTCGCCAGGCCTCCGAGCAGGTCGAGCAGCCCGTTCAAGAAGAGGAGAAGAAGAGCCAGTAAGACTATATCTCTGGCCGTTCGCAGCACTCTTTTGGTTAGAGCCGTAGGTGGACACATTGTATCAGAATATACGAAGTAAATATATCTTGGTGTCACATTTTGGAAAGGATATGCTGCTCTTGTTTCTGTTCAAGTACTCAATTCTTTCTCTTCTTTGGTATCCTGTGCAGGGCTAGTTCCTGCGCCTTGGTCTTCTTTCTTCTCTTCTTGGATGTGTTTTTGTCTTATATATCGCTCAGGGAGCAGCAGGTTTATCTGGCATTCGTGACGAGGGCGGCGTTGAAAAGCATATGTGTATATGGTTGAATATACAAAACAAGTTAGAAAGGCTCTGGTTGTGGGCAACAACTACCGGAACGATGGTTATCCATAAAAAGTAAGCCATATATTCAAATTAACACAGGTGTATCTACTCCGTCTTCCGTTCGTCGGTCCCTCCGGGCTTTTCCCTCCACGACCTTACTCAAAACCCTCATCCCACAAACATTCCCCAGTCAATCTCCCCTCGCCTTCTACACGCCAGCCTACAAGCCTCGTGCATCCAAAGCCGCGCGAAGCGTCTTCTGAAAGCCAAAGACATGCTCAGGGCTCAGCATGGTATAGTGGGCGCCGCCGACATCATGAAAACGGGGCTGCGAGCGGGTGAAGTCCTCCCACTTGCTCAGCTGCTCCTCGCGCCACTGCTTCTTGGAGGAGGCGACGACGGCCAGCGGGATGCAGTAGAAGACGTCCATGCCGGCGATAGAGCCAGAGGGGTCGTAGTCGATGGCCATGCTCTGCAGCGAGAAGGCCAGGCTGGCCCACTTGACGAGCGCGGCCTCGGACAGCGCCAGCTCGCTCAGCCGGGTCTGGTCGGCCTCGGCCATGACCCGGGCGAGGGCGTCGTCGCGCGACGCCCCGTCCTGCAGCTCGGCGGAGAGCTCGCGCGAGCGCGCCTCGGTGATCAGGTCCAGGAAGTAGGAGAGGTGGAGCAGGCACTCTTTCCAGTCGAGCTGGCGCATGCGCGACTTGATGTGGGGCGGCAGGTTGAAGGAGCCCAGGAAGCGCACCTCGTCGCCGTGGGCCTCGAGCACCTTGCCGACCTCGAAGGCCAGCATCGAGCCGTAACTGTAGCCGGCCAGGGCGTAGGGCCCCGCGGGCTGCTCGCGCTTGATGGCGGCGTGGTAGGTCGCCACGACCTCGGCGATGGTTGCGAAGGGCGTCTCGCCGTCGTTGAAGCCCCGCGCCCGCAGCGCGTACACCGGCCGGTCGACCAGGAACTTGGCCAGGTTCAGGAACACCAGCACCTCGCCAACGCCCGGGTGCACCAGCCACAGCGGGCTCTTGGTGCCCTGGCCCTGCAGCTTGACCACGGGGCTGTACTCGTGCTTCTGCTGGAGGTCGTGCAGGGCGCGGGCGAGGTCGCGCACCGTGCTGTTGGTCATGAGCGTGATCATGGGCAGTTCGGCCGTCAGGTCCAGGTGCTCCTCGATGTTCTTCTTGAGCTTGATCAGCTCGATCGACGTGATGCCCATGTCGAAGATGGGCGTCTGCACGTCGAAGTCGCCCGCGGGCAGGCCCAGGGACGTGGTGAAGATCGAGAGCAGCTGCTGCTCGAGCGCGTCCGTCGGGTCCTTGCGCGTGACCCGCCGGTACAGCTTGACCATCTCCTCGTTGATCTCGAGGTAGGTCTGGTACTCGCCCTTCTCGTAGGCGGTCTTGATCTTGGCCCGCGACAGTTTGCCCAGCGCCGACTTCTGCAGCAGGGACCGGTCGAGCGGCAGGAGCTTCGGCCGGCAGCCCGTCGACATCATCACCACCTTGGACATGGCGTCGGTCGTCTGCACGCGGGCGATCATGTCCTCGGGGGCGTAGGTGGGCAGGTACACGACGATGATCTCCTCCGTGTCGCCGCCGGGCGGGAAGGACGAGAAGCAGCAGTTGAAGCTGCGCGTCAGGCCCGCGATGTTGGCCTCGTCCAGAGCGCTTTCGACCTCGTGCGGGTAGTAGTTCACTCCGTTCACGATCATGGTTTCCTTCGCGCGGCCGACCAGGGTCAGGTTACCGGCCGCGTCGATGACGCCGCGGTCGCCGGTGCGGAACCAGTTGTCCGTGGTGAAGGCCTCAGCCGTCGCTGTCGGGTTGTTGAAGTACTCCTTGAACACCACGGGACCCGAAACCTCGAGAGACCCGACCTCTCCGGCCGGCACGGGGTTGTTCTCGCCGTCGGAGACTCGCATGCTGATGCCAGGCATGCAGGACCCCACAGAGGCGAACTCTGAGGACCGCTGAACATCGTACCGGGGGAAATCGGTGTTGAAGATGGCTCCAGCGCAGGTCTCTGTCATGCCGAATCCAGGTATGATAGCATTGGGGGGAGCACCGTGCTCCTCCAGAAGCTTTGCGACCTCCTCGCAGGTCTTGGTCACGTTGGCCTCTCCACCGGACGCGATATAGCGGAGACAGCTCAGGTCCCAGTCGTGTGGGACGGAGTCTCCCTGGCTCTTGATGGTAGCGCGGATCTTGCCGAGAAAGAAGTTGGGAGCGAAGGTCCTCGAGACGCGGTGCTTGTGGATCAAGTCAATGAAGGCCGTAGGGTGCGAAAGGACATCGGGAGCCTGGACATGGATCTGGTCCTTTTCCCCGTACATTGCTTGAAGGTGGATCTCAATCATCGCGGCAACATGATCCAGACCGATCCAGTTCAAGAATGAGGTTCCCTCCGGCAGCTCGACCACCCCGTATTTACCGGCAATAGCTGCCAGAATTTGCCCATGGGTCAGACACACGGCTTTGGAGTTTCCCGTGCTCCCCGATGTGAGCATGAGCACTGCATTATCACTGGCACTTGAATCTCGGCAGATGTCGGAGCTATCTGTTGGCGGAGCATTGTCCACATCGAGTGACTCCACTGCAACTGGGTCGATAGCTTCTTGTCCCCCAAACTCGGGCAAGAGGTCAGCCCGTGTCAGGCATAGGGGGTTGTTGAGCATTTTCGACAGGTGTTCGAGATGTGCGGTGCGGTGAGATGGGTTGTTGGAGAAGGGGATTGACAAGGCTGGGAGGCATCCAACAAAGAGAGCGGCCCAGAACCAGACGATGATATCCCAGTGAGTATTGAAATGAAGCAGAACCACGCTTCCAGATTGGAAGTCTTCTCTCGAGCGAAGAGCCCAGGATGCTTTCAAGGCTAGCATGAATAGCTGACTGTAGGAGAAGACTCTGGGCTCGTGCAGATTTCCCATAGGGTAGGAGACGACATTGCCGCTGCCTTCTTTCGCAGCGACGACCTCGAGGAGATGTTGTAAATTTCGCAAAGACATTGTGTCACTTATGGAGAAGGTGGATGGGGGGGTGAGGACATGGGTCTGAGGATAGAACTGAGAGTCAAACAGCTTCACGATGCGTCGCGGTGCGTCGCCTTTATAACCCTACTGGCCCAGAATCTGGATCTCCAAAGAACGCATGATGGACAGTACCATTTGCCTTGCCGCGGCCCTGTCTTGGCTAGAGAGGAACAGACTCTTTTGGCAAATGTGCAGCCGTCCGAGATATGCAAATGAGTTGGCTTTCTTGTTGACAGTATCGGTTAAGCTACTTTGGTTAAAGCTCATCATCGGGTCTAGACTTACCGTACAGTCAATTGAACACGAGACTGCTCGTCCGAACACACGGATCCGAGTCGAGTCCGCATTGACGAAGAAGGTAAGCAATCTGTATCGGGTCTGCAGCGTAGTGGGTGTCAACAAACTTCAATTAAAGACGCATGGTCAATGCCGGCCATCCCGTATGATTCGAGAGACCGCCCCCGTCACCTGCTCGCCAAGGCTGTGACATGAATGGCGCAGTGATGTCGATCCTGCGAGCTGCCATGGAGTACTGGAGCATACTTTGTAGTTGCTTGCCAGTCTGAGCTGCGCTTTGTTGACTGAAACAGTAGTCACCGCCACACCCCAGCTATCGGAGAGATAACGAGCCTAGAGCTGCCCTCAATTGGCTTGATTAAGCTGCCAACCACATCACCCTTTGTCAGGACACGGCTTCAGCCAGCTCTATACCAGCAAACCAAGCTGTTCTCATGATAAAGGAGACTGCCATGTTCCATCCGCGGATATGCATGGTGAAGCATCACGGCGATGTGTCGTCGAAGGCTCATCAACATAAGTGGCTATAGCCCGACAAGCGTTCAAGCCAAAAGTCTGGGCAATGCACTGCATGGAGCGAGATGGATTGAGGCACTAATCAGCGGAAATGGCGGACAGACGAGAGATTCGAAACGTGACTATAGTCCCGCATATATCATGGCCTCCCTTGCGCACCGCTCCTCATTTATGCGGTATCACCATGATGTGAATAAGATGCATGTATGCAGCTACTGGTAGTGGCTTATGATCTGTGACATGACATGGAAGGTCATGGTCGAGGGATGATGAGGACGGGATGGTGTCTCCCGGGGTAGCAGTACGCAGTTAACTCCGGATCATCGAGCCTTATAACCAACAGTAGTAAATGCACAAACCAACAGACTATGCTGCAGGGTCTCACCTACTTCTGCTAGGTCATAAATTGATGGTGCCCAAAGATGCCAGCGCAGAGGATGGGTGCAGGGTAAGCGAGTTGAGAGGAGAGAAGAGAAGAGGAGAGGAGAAGGTTGACCCCGCCTGACGAAACTTGGACGACACACACACTCCCCCGAAATACAGTTTATAAGAGGCTGGCGACGTCCTCTGAGAAACCCCTCCCTTCCCCCTGGCTTAGCCAAACTACACAGTGCAACACTTCTGACATCCAAGATGACAGTCGCACCTAACACGGACTCCCGAATGGCCTTTATTGGTCTGGGAGAGATGGGCAAGGTAAGAACAATATCCCCATTGTCCCATCATCAGCTTAACCTCGAGATCCCCCGACAGAAGCTATACTGATAAAAGAACATAGGCAATGACTCGCAACCTTCACCGCGATGGAAATCTAACCAGCCCATTGACCCTCTGGAACCGGACCAAGAGCACCGCGGACGCCCACAGCGCTGACCTCGGAGACTGCAAAGTGGCCGAAACCGTGCAGGAGGCGGTCGAGAGCGCCGAAATCATCTGGTCCTGCCTGCAGGACCAGTCCGCGGTGGAGCAGGTCTTCGACAGTATCTTCGCAGCCGACGTCAACATCACAGGCAAACTGTTCGTCGACAGCTCAACCATCGCTCCGGAATGGTCAAATGCCACAGCCAAACGGGTCATCGAAGCTGGGGGAGAGTTCGTCTCGATGCCAGGTAAGGGAATTGCCATCCTGCTTACAGAGACTCTGTGTCTTCTCTCGTTCTCTGACACCCAGAAAAATTACCAGTCATGGGCGAGCCCGTGGTAGCAGCAGCCAAGAAACTCATCTGCATCCCAAGCGGGAAGCCCGAATCGGTTGACCGAATCCGACCATATCTGGAGGGCGTGTAAGTTGTTTCTCGATAGAACACAGTTGCCACCCATTGCATTGGGGAAATATGTGGCTCATGCGCAAGTCTAGGGTGTGTCGGGCGATCGTCGATCTGAGCGGAGAAGAGCCGGGCACCTCGTCCCTGCTGAAGCTGATGGGCAACTTCCTGATCATGACGACGATGGAGACGGTGGCGGAGGTCAATGTGTTTGCCGACAAGTCGGGGATCGGCACCAAGAACATGAACAAGCTGATGGGCGCCATGTTCCCCAACCCGCCGCATGCCATCTACAACCACCGCATGCTGACGGGAGAGTACTACGAAGGCACAGTACGCGCTACCCCTTCAACCATGTTCTCGCATTCATTCACAGCTGACAAACTATGCGATGTACGCAGCCCATCGTCGAGGTCTACAAGGCATTGGCCCTCACAGGCCAGGTGCTGGATATGGCCAAATCGTGCGGCGCCTCCGTCCCCATCTACGAGGTTGCCCGGGAGCACCTGAAGCTCGTGCAGGAGCACGAAGGGTCCAAGGCCGACATCACGGGGATTTATGGCGCTGTCCGGGTGAAGAGTGGACTGCCCTACCGGAATGGTGCCGCGGAGGGGAGCAGCAATGAGAAGTAAAAAGTTATCAAAAACTCGGGGGGCGGGGGGGGGGGCGCGGGTGGTGGATGGCGAACATTGGGGAGTAACTTTCTCCGTACAGCACGGAGACGTTCATGTTATAAGCAGTTCAGAATAAGTTTTCAGTGGCTGGCCACTAGGGACTGCAGCCTACATGTCGAATTGCCCATTGCGATCTGTGGACACTGGACGGTAACTTTGGTCGAGGGTCGATGCATAGGACCTGTCATATGATCCCTTAGCTATTTGGCTATTTTGGGGCTTTCTCGTTGTCGTTCCCGTGTTGTTGCCTGCTACTCCGCATCCTAAGATAGAATGCACGTTGGGTGCAGGATATTGCCGACAACATCACTCCAAGGGTATGAGTCAAGCGTTGGGCATGGACTCGGCCTGCACCACTGTTTCCTTTTCCTTTCTCTTTTAGCACAGGGTGGTTTTGTGACTTGGTGTTTCACTATGAGTCACACCGCCAGATCTCCGGATCCATGGCACCAATGTATTACATTATGATTGAGGTTTGCAGCGAAAAGAGTCAACAGTATACTGATCACCTACTATACATACATACATACACGACACGACACATCATACACGAGACACACTCACCATTGCTCATGACCGAGGGAGGGCATCCACCAGCGTAGATGAGGAAGGGGAAAAGCCATCTAAGACAAGGTCACTTCTGTACCAGATGAAGGTAGAGGAAAAAGGTTGGAAATGGAGGGGGCGTAGCGTGCGCTGGGGGTAGAAAGCACGAAGCTTGGTATTTATGGGCGTGGCCGACCACTGTTGATACAGGAGGGAAGAGGTAGATTTGAAGGAGTGTGGGATGTATTGAGCCCCCTCCAGAAAACGATTTGAAAGAAGATTGAAAGGAGATGCTCCGTGACTGGAAAATCAAGAAAAATAGATACAAGACCTGAACAAGATGGAAGGAATCGAAAAGGGAAAAAAAAAAAAAGAAAAAGAAAAAAGCGATGTATGTTCCCCTCATCAGCCATGAAAGTATTCCCTGCTCCAAATAGACACAAAAAAAGAAAAACGATGAACGGTTACAGCCAGATGAGAAATCCGTGGTAGCAACCGGAAGGTTGAGTGATAGCGACGATCTATGGTGGGAGTGGTGTTGAGTCACGTCCATCCTTTCCTTGGGCGCTGTCGTCCGTCTGTGTCGGTTCGGGGGGAGCAATCGTGGCGCCGGAGCGACCATCGAAGTATTTGGCGAACTCGCCTGAGTCGGGCCATTCCCGCGGGCCCAAAAGACGAATCATATCGTCTCGGCTGAGAACTTCTTTGGCCAGAAGCTCTTCGGCCACGATGCCGACTTCCTTCTTCTTAGCCTCCAGGAGGTCGCGGCATTGCTTGTGTGCCTTGGCGATGATTGAACGGACTTCCATGTCAATATTGCGCGCTGTTTCTTCCGAAAAAGGCTTGTGCATCTGCGATTGAGGGTCCTCCTCGTAGAAGATATAACGAAGACTAGGAGACATGCCATACTTGGTCACCATGGCTGTGGCCATCCTGGTTACTTTGTTGAAATCGTCACTGGCGCCAGTGGTGATGGTATCGAAGTGCAGTTCTTCGCTGACACGGCCACCAAGCGTCATTGCCATACGGTCCATCATCTGCTTCTGGTTCATCAAGTAGGTATCACCGTTGGAAGGTAAGTACTGCGCGTAGCCCAAGGCTCCCTGACCACGGGGGATGATAGAAACCTTGAGAAGAGGATCGGCCCAACGGAAGTACCAGCCACAGATAGCGTGTCCAGCCTCATGGTATGCAACTGTACGCTTCTCCTCAGGAGAGAGTACAAGTGACTTCTTTTCCAGGCCACCGATTACACGCTCGATCGCCTGCTCGAAGTGCTTCATTGTGATGCTCTCCGCATTTTCACGGGCCGCTGCGCGTAGGAGTTAGCATTGCGCAGAGAATAAAGAGATGGGGGGAGACAAACCAACGAGTGCCGCTTCGTTCACACAGTTCGCGATATCAGCACCGGCAAATCCAGGGGTCAAGGCCGCAAGTCGTCCTTTCAAGTACTCGATATCCTCATTGGTCACGATTTTCTTCAGATAAACGGCAAAGATCTGCTTGCGACCATCCATGGTAGGTCTGTCGATGGAAATATGTCGGTCGAATCGACCGGGACGCATCAAAGCCTTGTCCAAAATGTCGGGTCGGTTCGTACCAGCCAACACGACCACTTGATCAGTAGTGTTGAAACCATCCATTTCGGTAAGAATTTGGTTCAAAGTACTCTCGCGCTCATCATTTCCACCACCCATCTGGTTCTTGGAACGCGCTTTGCCGATAGCGTCGATCTCGTCGATGAAGATGATGCAGGGAGTGTTCTTACGGGCATTGGCAAAGAGGTCGCGCACACGCGAAGGACCAACACCAACAAACATTTCGACGAATTCAGAGCCGCTGACGCTGAAGAAGGGAACGCCGGATTCACCAGCAGTAGCCTTGGCAAGCAAGGTCTTACCTGTACCAGGAGGGCCCGAAAGAATAGCACCGCGAGGAATCTTGGCTCCCAGCTTTTGAAACTTCTTAGGGTTCTTCAAAAAGCTAACAAACTCCATGATCTCCACTTTCGCTTCGTCCATGCCAGCCACATCAGAAAACTTGATCTTGATGTCCGACTCGTGGTTGAACCGTTTGGCCCGACTTTTGCCAATGCCGAAAATACCGCTCTGGCCACCTCCGCCGCCTGCACGTCTCGACAGGAAAAAGAGACCGCCAAGAAGAAGGACCGTAGGAGCAAAAGACAAAAGCGTAGCTGCCAATGGAACCTCCTCAGAATATTGAACGGGAATCCGCTCCGTGCTTGGAATACCAAGTTCCTCCTGCGCTGCATCAAGTTTCCGTTCAAAGCTGTCGACAGAACCGATGCTGAAGAAATAGTAAAAGCTGCCGTTCTGAGCAGGCGAGCCGGGATATACGGTGGCAGCCGCATCCCGATCCAGGTAAACTCGCACTCGATTGTTGTTGATCACAACTAGCTTCTCCACCAAGCCCTTCTCGAGGAAATCCGCTCTAAACTCCTGCCAAGTGATATCCTGTTTGTTCTCTGAAGGGAACAGGCTAGTATAGAACCAGAAAAGAACGAGGGTACCGATCAAGATTGACGGCACATCAAGTTTGATCTCGCTGAACTTCGGTACGTCGCCATTGGGTTGCTGTCCTTTATCATTTTTCTGCCCCGAACCTTTCCCAGATTTCGCCCGGTTTTCTTCCCTTCTTTTATATAGATTGTCCACATGTTCCTTCATTTCTCGAATGTCCGCCTTGGTGTATTTGCTGGGGTCTGTGTATTTCTTTTGAAACTCGTCCCGCTTGCCCTCCATCTCTTTCTCCATGGCTTCAAGTTCCGCCTTCGGGTGTTTCGTGGGATCCTCTCCCCACTTTTTTCTGAACGCCTGCCGTGTGGCTTTGAGCTCTGTTTCAAGGGCCTTCAGTTCCTCCAAGAACTCCTGGTGCCGAGGACTAGGAGATTCAGGATCTTCTTTGCCATCGGTAGCTTTCTGTGAAGATCCCTCGTTGGCGTCTGAAGATTGTTGCACATACTCCGCATGCTTATCATAGATATTGCTCACATCCCTGGCGAATTTGATGAATTTCATCATCGACGGAGTCTTCCCTTGGACAACCTGTTCCATATAAGACCTCATGTCTGGATTTAAGCCGCAGACCATGCACTTTTGTCGCATTTCCTCCACCATTGATTTGGCAGGCTCGAAATCCATCCGTGTCTTCATCTCCTCGACGAACCGATTGAGCAGCTGCTCGTCTTCGGGCGTGATGGCGTGCTGGGGGGTGTTCTTCGCCTTGGCATTGCCAGATTGACCATCGGTGCCTTCCGTCTTCTTGTTCTGGCCATTCCCGTTGGCTGGCGGCTTCGGAGCGTTGTCGCCGGGTTGCTGCGTGGCGTATGTGCGCGCTCGCTGCGCGAGGATCAGGGCCGAGACTCGGGATTGGGGGGCATGCACGGTGAGCGGCCCGGCGCGGAAGACGCTGTCGGCTACTCTCCTCGAGTACCGGGCCAGGTTGCCTGGTCGTCGAAGCAAGGAAGCCATGATTGTGAAGGGGGAAGGTGAAGGGTATCGAAGGCCCGGGAGGGCGACCAGTTTCAGATGGGTGGCGCGATAGGGCGTACGTGGTGTTCGATCTACTCGGGTCTCAATGGCACAGGTAGATCAGTAGTTGCCGTGTAGGGCTGATTTCCAAGAGCACGAGGTGTAGAGGAGAGAAGAAAAGGTGGTGGCGGGGAGGGGGACGGAGGGAGAGGGGAAGCTCTTTAGTTGGAGCTGATTTCGTGCCGGAACGAACGATCGTCTTCCCGCCGAAGAGGTCATCTCGCTCGGTCGGTTTTCGCCGTTCCGTTGAACCAGCTGAGTCATCAGACTCCCACCGCCTTTCTGCATTAGTGATTGAGGGCCGGCCAGAATCCTTAGGAATCTGGTGGACTCCGTCATTGATATGTTGGCTCCGGATACGTTGTAGTCTTAGACACCGCTGCGACTGGAAACACGGTCATTGACCTAGAATAATCTTGAGTGCCAGAGATTTAGTCGAACTGAAATGTCAGAGTCTGACACCGCTTGTGTAGTCAATCCTCAAAACACATACAGAACGAGTGAATTGCAACCGCAGCCAATCTACTGTCTTTCACCGGAGACTCTATTTGATGCTCGGAGCCACCGCTGCTGAATGAGTTGACAAATTTATCAATATCTCTATATGATTAGGCCCATATAATGACAGCGAAAGAACTATAACAGGTGAACATGAAAGTTCATGACACAAGAGAAACCACTGGGATACTTTTTGACAAAGCAAAATGCTTAACATTGAACAAAACCCAACTCCATTCATAACCTCAAGGTATCGAACCCGACCGGGCAGCCGGGGAGCAAGAAACGTAAGAACCCAAAAAGACCCTTTAGTCGAGATCCATTTCCTCCTGCGTAGTTCCGTCCACCAAGATTCTGGTCCTCTTTCCTGTTCTGATGCGCTCCTCGCCGTGCAGTCTGGTCTTGCCCGTGTCCAGAGCGGCCAGCTGGCCCTCCTCGCGCTCGCGCAGCTCCTTGCGGATGAGGTGCTCGCCGGAGGCCACCACCTTGCGGTCCTCCTCGCGCTTGCGGTCCCGCGCAAGCTTGCCCGCCAACCGACGCTTGGTGAAGACCCGCTCTCTGCGCTGCCGGATCTCCTCCACTCTCTCCATGGCCTTGATGGTAGCGGCCACCAGGTTTCTGTCGTACTTGACGGGAACGTTGCGCTTCTTGGCGAACTGGGACAGGACGAGGGAGGAGTCGACGATCATCTCCTTGCCCTTAGCGGCACGACCGACCTTGGTCCACTTCACACGTCTCGGTTGTCGCTTGGCCTTGAAGTTCTGGTGGGTAATGGGGATGTCAGTTTCGTTCTGAGATGATGCACCCACGAAAGCGTGAGGGGAAAGAGGGGACTTATCATTTGCTTCTGCAGAAACGGAACGCCTTGGCGTCATTGCGGACGAACTGAATACCCTTGCTAGGGTAGACCGGGCGAGAGCAGAAGTGGCAGGTTTCGACTCTATCGCGGTCGTTCGTCAGAAAAAAAAAGTCACAGCAGTAGCGATAACGATACTCAAGATAAAGGCAAACTCACCTCATGATGGGCTATTTTATCGCGTGAAAAGGTCCAACGGCAACTGTGTGATAGTGATGGTTATAAAAGTACTGTCGCAGAGTACCACTGGATAATGAATGAACAGAAGCCGCAAGGAACCACCTGAATCCCACCGTCGTGTCAAGAAGATATCCGATGTCCAGGACAGGAACCGCCATTCAAAAAATTGAGAAGCGTGGAGCAGCCGGCACTAAACCCAAACGGGGGATGCGGCGCCGCTCCGATTTTTTATCTGGACTGCGGCGGCTTCTCCTTCCCCAACGTCACAACTTCGAGATCCCTTTTGCGCCTCCCCTAAGCAACTCATTTTCCGGGCCAACTTCGCTTCAACTGCAAGATGTCTGCTTTTCTCTACGGTGTTGGTATTGCTACCGCTGCCTTTCTGGTACGTCCGAAGTTTATTTCGAGTGGTTGTGGATTGTCAGGGGCTAACCTTCTCTTCCTCGGTCAGGGTCGCGCGGGCTATGTCGCTCTGCAACGGTCCAGAGGCGGTATGAACGCGGCGGGCAAGGCTTTCTACAAGGGGTAAGCTGACTTGGCTTCTGTGGTCGGGCAACGACAGAGCACTAATTGATACTTAGAGGATTTGAACCCCGGATGAACCGTCGCGAAGCGTCTTTGATCCTGGAACTACCGTACGTCGAAGCTTTCCAAAATACCATACGTTGAAGGGCGAGGGTCGTGTCTAACAAACTGTATAGGGAACGCACGATGAACAAGGACAAGGTTCGCAAGAAGCACCGTCAGCTCATGCTGCTCAACCACCCCGATCGTGGTGGCAGCCCCTACTTGGCCACCAAGATCAACGAGGCCAAGGAGTTCCTCGACAAGCAGCTTTAAATTCTCATTCCGACCGGAGAGTCTTTAGCGAAGCATTTCCACGTCGTGAAAGACGATAGGGTACATTTACGTATCGACCATTGTACAAGAGTTTCTTTCTTCTTTGGGTGCGCATAGCGAGGCGTTGGTGGAAATTTTCTAAACCCGGGAATTCATCCCTTGGGTACGCTCCTGATGGAGACCTGTATTTACACTACTACTGTATACCGATGAGATCGCCGCTCTTGAATGTATAGCTATGATTTATTGGCACACATATGTTTTGGAGCCTAGGCTGAAGCGTTGGCGAGTAGCTCTGCATATGCTTGTCGTATGCCTGTCGTATCGTAGTATAGACCTCGCTGATCCACCTTGTGTGACATGTGATAGGTCTGGGTAGCGGTAAGCCAGGACAACCTGGGATGTTTGAGCCTCTAATCATAAGATGAGGTCTGTACAGAGTCAAATTCCAAGGACCGCCAGGGATATATTGCAGGATAACAGGTGTCAACAGTTGTCAACAGTCAAACAACAACCCTGCATGTAAATTGGCAGAAACAGATGGATGGATAAAGAAATTAGTCATAGACAAAGGGAGAGAGTGGAACGGCCACTGGCTGGCAGGCAGGCAGGCAGGCAAGCGGGCGATGGCACCAGCCAAGGCCGAGAGTCACAGCTTCAGTCAGTAGAAAAGGTAAAGAGCGGGTTCGGACGGAGAGAAGGCCTTCCATCTTCCGTTACCCACGGAGATTCGGGGTTAACGACTTCCGTCCGTTCTCGTATTCGGACACCCTCATTGAAGCTTGATGCCAGATGATACGATCAGACTTTCATGACAAGATGAAGATCAAAGGAGCTAATGCGGAGTACTAACACCAGGCTGCCGTCATTATTCTTTAACTAACTGTTACACTAAAGCCATACTCTATAATTATAATTATCGACATATATTGACAGTGGATGTGATAGCAAGCTATCTCCGTCCGGATGCAATAATCTGTAAGCTTGTGTCTCAACTCTCTTTTTTGTCTGTCTGTCTGTCTGTCTGTCTGTCTGTCTGTCAGCTCTCGGATCAGATTTGAGAATTGATCCGGTCCCATTATTGCTTCGATCCCACAATCATCAATCAACTCAGTCAAGCTGTCGTCCGTCCTTGACTGTCCTCCACCCCTGAATATTCTTCTGCTCCTATCTCTCCTCTCCGTTGTCAGTCAGTCCGAGAAGAGGAAGGGAAAAATTAGCCCGAGTCGCCACGTGCTTGCAACTTATCGGGGAAAGGAAGTTAAGGGAGCAAAGCAGCCAGTGTGGATTACTCAATCCACCCTCAGTGCGTCTGTCTGTCCCATCCGCTAATTAAAACTAAAACCAATTCATTCCTCCCCCGACCGACTTCATCATTGTTCTTCTTCCTGTCCTTAGGGTCCCGTTTCTTTTTCTACTTTATATTTTCTTTTCCCTTCAACTCAACCGCGTTCTTGCCTCGGTGGATGCGCAATCTTTTTAGCAAATCCGGTTTCTCGATCGGCTCACCCTAGTCATTCCTTATCGTGAATAATCAACGGTTGGCTTGCATCTGCATTCCATTGACGTCGTCGCCGGGAAAAGTAACCCCGCATCCAGCCCATTTTCGACTCGACTCAATCCATACCCGCTCGGTCTAGAAACTCCACTCCGTCATAGAAATTCTCCTTATTACACTCGGGAACCTTTTCCTGTCTTCGCTCCCATCGCAATGGATGGCATCGGGGAAGGCCCCGACGGCATGGGCTTCGACATGCCCATGCTCATGAACCAGCAGCAGCAGTTCTTCGGCGGCTATCCTCACGACACTTCGCCGATCCCCTCCGCGCATCATAATGCAGCGTTTCAGGATGATACCGCAATGGGCATGGTTGATGATAGCAATGATGCCAAGAGACGGAGAATCGCAAGGGTGAGTCGCTGATCGTGCGATTTGACGCACAGCACTGGGCCTTCTGGTCGGCAATGGGCTGATCATGCTTCTTCATTCAGGCTTGCGATATGTGTCGAAAGAAGAAAATCAAATGCGATGGCAAGATGCCCAAGTGCTCCCACTGCATCAACTACAAGACCGACTGTGTCTTTACTCAGGTAGAGAAGAAGCGGAATCCGCCCAAAGGGTGAGCGTTCTTCGCTCGGCTGTGCTATCGTCTCGGTGATGCGCTAACAACGTGGGGTCCTGCAGTGCCAAATATATCGAAGGCTTGGAAAACCGATTAGGGAGGATGGAATCGCTACTACGCCTTTCGGGCCTGTTGTCAGAGGAGGATGGAGGAAAGACTGATCTTGGGACCTTGGAACGACGCCTTGCCGATCGATCTTTGGCGAATGGTGGTCTGAGCCTGCCCAGAAGCCCAGGAAAATTCAATACCTCCAACTCCAACAGCCAGTCTCAACAAGCCTCCTCGCATCACTCTACCCCTAGGGTCGAATCGCAGTCAAGTCCGCACACAGCCCCTACATCTCCGGAATCGCCGAAGGAATCCGAAAATGAAGTCGAAGGTCTGTCGGACATGATGTGCTCGCTCGTGACAAATAACTGTGGGGAAACAAGATACATTGGTCAGTACATGTATCAATATGAGATGGCTCAGAAATGCCAAGTTGACCTGCTATAACAGGATCGTCGTCGGGATTCTCGATATTCTCTCCGAAAGGCATACAGTGGGTGAATGAGAAAACAGGCGACTCATCGTTCCAGGACATGATCTCCTCCGCATACATCGATGACAACAAGTGGATGTATTGGAAGCCCGAGATCTTCAGCGACATATTCGCCCGTCGAGTCTTCAAGCCGTTGCCTCCTAAAGAAGAGGCCATGTCCCTCTTCCAGGACTTCTTCGCCAACTTCAATTGCATGTTTCCGCTTTTCCACGAACCAACTTTCATGCATCTAGTAGAGCGGCAATATTCTCGGGATCCGTACGAAGGCTCCGGCTGGTGGGCTAGCATCAACGTCGTGCTGGCCATCGCGCACAGAATTCGGGTGATGAATAATCTGGTGCCACAAGAGGAAGACAAGAAGGCGTGGCTCTACCTGAAGAATGCAATGGCCGTTCTGACTGAGCTCACGATGCGGAATACGGATCTGCTGAGCGTCCAGGCCTTGCTGGGAATGGTAAGTGGCCTTCATTGAGTGCTGGCATAGATTGCTGACACAGTCCCAGTCACTCTTCTTGCAAGGTACCCCCAACCCGCAACCATCTTTCTTCCTTGTCGCGGCAGCTATTCGGCTGTCTCACAGCATAGGGTTGCATAAGCGCGGCTCTGGGTTCGGTTTGAATCCTGTAGAAGTTGAACAACGAAAACGGGTGTTTTGGATTGCTTATTTGCTGGATAAAGAGTAAGCCGAGTCCTTCTCCTTTTGGACTGCGTTCGCTGACCTCCGACCCAGTTTATGTCTCCGTTCCGGCCGTCCACCTGTTCAGGACGATGATGACATGAACGTCGAATTACCGAGCGAAGACCCCCCTGACAATATTGGCAATGTGCCACTGTCAGATGGAAAGAGCAAGTTCAATCTCTTCAGGTCGATGTGTCGTTTTGCTACTATTGGGAGTCGAGTTTACAAGCGACTGTATTCCGCGAAGGCATCGAAACAGTCGGATGGAGAATTGCTGAACACGATCGGAGAGCTTGACAAAGAACTCGAAGAGTGGAAGGACAGCATACCACTTGACTTCCGCCCAGAGAACGAGATTAAAGCTACTCATACACCGTTGATCCTGCATGTTGTCGTTCTCCACTTTGCCTACTACAACTGCTTGACAACGATCCACCGAATGTCTGTTCATCATGGATACTGGACTAGCCGTCTTTCGAACTATGCCATTCAAGGCCTCAATGCCAGGCCCTTGAACCCAAGGGTTTTCTTGTCGGCAGTCCTTTGCGTGACCGCTGCTCGAGCGTCCATCAATCTCATCAAATACATACCGCAAGGCGACTTTGCATGTGTCTGGTCAGTACACATCTTGTTTGGCTGCATGCTTGTCTGCTAACAGGCTCTTCTAGGTTGATACTATACTATCCGGTCTCTGCATTGGTTACCCTTTTCGCTAATATCCTCCAAAATCCCAACGACGCACGAGCGCGTTCTGATGTGAAGCTGATGAATGTGGTGGTCAATTTCCTGTCGACGCTGGTATCCGATGAATCAAACGGAAGTATCAAACGCATGCTCACTCTCTGTGGCGAGTTCGAACGGATCGCGCAGGTAGTCCTCGACAAGGCAGAGAGGGAGTCCCACTCGAAGAAAAAGCGCAAGGCCACGTCCGATGACCCTAAGAACACGCAACAGCAACAATCATCCAATCCAGTTCAGTCCCCAACGACCCCCGCCACCGGAGCATCAGATGCGCCTTCCTCCGCCCGAACCGCAGTACCCCTTGCATCGTCTTCGTTTCCGGCGGCTCAAAATAATCAGCCCACGGGCAACTCACCCACTGCAGCACGCAACTTTGTCCCCGATCAAGCCTTTTCTGCAGCTGGTAGCGGTCTTCCCCCGAATCTTCAGGAAACTATACATAGTCTTACAAACCTGGGCCCCGACTTTGAAATGCTCAGCCCACACAATCTGGACGGCGTGCGATTTGGCGAGCAGCCACCCTTTGCGACGACCGCCGCCGACAACCCCCTCTCATCCTTCCAGCAACCATTCGTTCCACAAGATCTGTGGCAGATGCCGATGACTATCGAATGGGATTGGGCCGACATGTCGAACAATTTCCCGGTCTTTGGTGACACCAGCGGTCCCAGTGGCGGGCCTCCGAACGAGTCATGATGCTATGTACACGACATACACGGGGCGAACTGGTCACACATAGGACGGGAGAGGGGGGCGGAACGGGTACATGCATGCGTAACGACTACTTTTGATTTGTTATCTGTCCATTTTACTTCAACCTTCCATTCATCACATACGGGAGTTCCACGGAGTTCCGACGGGCAAGGCCGAATCTGACCCGAGGCTTTTCAGGGGAGGGGTGCGGGATCTTATGCTTCTTGGAGGGATTAGCGTTTATTATTTTTTTATATCCATTCCCCACCATCCCTAACCCCATCCATCCACAAAAAGTCCGATCATATACTTCATTCCTTCGTTTGATACCTCTCCACTAATTATATTCATTTGGTTGTCTCTCCGAAACCCCTTTGACCCTGAAGACTTGTGTCCATTTTTGTCGGAGATGTGAGAGAAAATGCCGGTATAATTTCTCTTTTCCTTCTGGACCGTGTCTTGAAACTCTTGTAGGTATACATGATCTTGTACTTACCAACAACCCTCTCTTTTCTTTCCTTAGGGAAACTTGTGATTGCTTGTGCACTAGAAGTGTATGACTGAAAGATTTTGATGTAGTGTTCAGCAGTCACCCAATGCAGATAGCACATGGATACCCTGGATACCTGTCACCCGGTGCTGGACCACCTGTCCATGCTCAATGCTGAATACAATATAGTATAGTCAGCAGTTTGATAATCCTGTTGTTGTTTTCTATACGAAGCTTCATACAGGTGGTGTACTGTACAGAAGGTCTGGCACGGGCCAGTGCCCCCGGGATGGATGCACGCTAAATCTGGACCGGAAGGTACCCGCGTCGATCCGTTCCGGCCGAAGTCGAGATCTGAAGTGGAACCCTGATTGAGTGTCCATGAGGGAATCCACCAGAGGGAATCTGGCGTCTCGGCTCATGGATAGCGCATCATTGCAGTGTGCTCAATGTTGGACTGACTGATAACGTCAAGAATCTCATGAAAGCTATGCAGATAGTACTGTATCGTACAGTGAGCTCATCTCAAAACCAAAACACCACGTTGAAACCAGACCTAAAACTCATGGGCCTGGATGATTCCATTATTTTCGGTTGTCACATACAATAAAAAATATGTCTTTGACTTCAGATCCCTACTCTTCCAGTTCCAAGCAGATCAACGGATCAAATATATGGTAGTGGTACTTGGCAATATCTGATTTTTCTCCATTCTATGCCAAACCCCTGCACGGCCCGGAATAGCGCCATCTTGTTTCCCACTAACTTTAGGCGTCAATTGCCAACTTCGTCCACCGGATCACGTGGTATCTACCAGGTCCGTCTCCTTGCTCTTCTCTGTTTCAAAGGCAATGAAGTAAACGTCGAAGGAATCACTTCTTCGGTCAATGTGGACAGACAGACATGGCTCGATTAAACCGCTCGCATTTTCTGGCCCTCGCAGTTGTTTTCCACTTACTCTATGTCTATTCTATCTTCGACATTTACTTCGTGAGCCCCGTTGTCGGGGGCATGAAGGCCCACCGCGTCCAGGTTTCTCCTCCTGCTCAACGCGTCGTGTCCTTTGTCGGTAAGGGGGACTATCCCGTTTTCTCTCTCCCCTTCAGTATCTTGTGGAAAGTCGACGGTTCTAATTCTATATAATGGTGGCTGCACTGCAGCTGACGGTCTCCGCGCGGACAAGACCTTTCAACAATTCCCCGACCCGTCCCCAGACGCCCCCACAGATGAGTCGGCGCAGATACCACGTTACTTAGCTCCCTTTCTGCGCACACGAGTGTTGGAACATGGTACCTTTGGAGTCTCATACACGCGTACCGACCGAAACGCGCCCAGGCCATGTGGCCCTTCTCGCAGGCCTCTACGAAGACGTCTCCGCTGTGACCACGGGCTGGAAGCTGAACCCAGTGGGCTTCGATAGCGTGCTGAACCGCAGCCGACATGCGTGGAGCTGGGGCAGTCCCGACATCCTGCCGATGTTCGCGCAGGGGGCCGCACCAGACCGCGTGGATACAGACATGTACAGCGCCGACGCGGAAGATTACAGCAAGGACGCCACCGAGCTAGATATCTGGGTCTTCGACCGCGTGAAGCGCTTCTTTCGTTCCGCCACCGACAACCCAAGCTTGGAGACTGCCCTGAGACAAGATCAGAACATCTTCTTTCTCCATCTGCTCGGCCTGGACACTTCCGGCCACTCTTACCGGCCCTACTCGCGCGAATATCTGCATAATCTCCAGGTGGTCGACAACGGCGTGCGCGAGATCTGCGATGAGTTGCAGGCTTTTTTTGGGGATGACCGGACGGCTTTTGTTTTTACCGCGGACCATGGGATGAGCGATTGGGGCAGCCACGGGGATGGACACCCAGACAATACCCGGACGCCCCTCATCGCGTGGGGCGCTGGCGTGGCCCGTCCCAAGGCAGGGCCCCCGGGCAGCGTGGCGGCTGGACACGATGGGTTTTCTGCCGATTGGCACCTGGATCATGTGCAGAGGCATGATGTCGCCCAGGCTGATATTGCGGCGCTGATGGCATATCTGGCGGGGGATTCCGTTTCCCGTTAACTCGGTCGGACGCCTTCCGTTGCCTTATCTCGATGCGGACGAGTCCACTCAGGCGGAAGCGATGTTGGTTAATGCGCTGGAGATCTTGGAGATGTATCGAGTCCGAGAAAGTCGTATGATGGCCTCGAAGCTCTGGTATGTGCCCTTTCCGGCACTCAGTCACGGCCAAGGTCCAAATCAAGAAGAAAGAATTGCTCGAATCCGTAATGCGATCCGTCAGGGGCATTTTCGGGGGGCGATTGAAGGCTGTGAGGATCTGATCGACCTGTCTCTTCAGGGCTTGCGATACCTACAGACCTATGATTGACTCTTTCTTCGAGCTCTGATCAGCGTCGGCTACCTGGGGTGGATGGCCTTCGCTCTCACGAACGCGCTCAGCCACTTTGACCTACCAAGCGCAGATAATAGTCTTAAGCCAAGACGTTCTACTGTCCGCCTCACCGTGATGGGATTTGTCAGTCTTGCTCTTCTGGTGAGACTGTACTCGCAGAAGTCTCCGATGCAATATTATGCGTACGCTGTTTTCCCGGTCTTATTCTGGGCTGAGGTATGGGCCTGTCAAGATACCTGGACCCAGGCCATTAGGGCACTTTCCACACGGATATCCGCCAGCAACGTGACTGCAGATGTGGCCGGGGTGCTGCTCTTGGGCCTGCTCTTAGAGGCGATCGTAAGTTTCGGTACCCTGCTCGTGCGCACCTTATGTTTACCTAGCAACAGGTTCAAAGTTATCATGATCGCAGGATTTACACACTCATCTACATTCTCGCCCTCTTCTGGCCCGCTATCTATGGCATTGATTTTATCCGTGCCAATCGCCTCGTATGTTTGGCGTGGGCAGTTCAATGTGGTGCTATGAGCATTTTCACCCTTCTTCCGGCCATGAAAACGGAGGATACTACTTTGATGTATGTTCAGCCCGGTTATATCGCATGCGGATTGAGATGATTGCCAGTTAACATAACGAATAGCACCTTATAACGAATAGCACCTTGGGTGGTCTCCTCATGTTTTCCTGCGGTGTCTTGTATATCATCTTCGAACCGACAATACTCCAACGAGCATCATTAGGAAATGTGGTTGAGATTGACCGGTTAGGAAGATTGCTTCTGATGTTCCAGGTCGGATTAGTACCTTTGGCCATATGTATGACGCGGTCCGCAGCGGCCTCCCTGCAGTCTAGAGAAGGACTCCCTCGTCCGACACAGATCCTAGGATGGACAATACTCGGTCAGTACACCACTCCTGCGGCATACCAAGATTAACCTGTACCAGTGACGTCCTTTATCCTCCCGTTCTTCGCTCTGCGGACCAGACGCCACCACATTTACCAACTAGTAGTCCTCTTCTTCACATTTGCCCCACTATTCATACTCCTCACTATCTCCTACGAGGACCTCTTCTACTGCTGCCTGCGCGGCACGCTCTTCACCTGGGTACAACTGGAGTCTAAAGTCTCTGACTACCACCCAGAGCAGCCCGCAACCCCATCCATCGCCCGAAAATCACCACAACTCCGGCCCCTCCGCTTCTCCGACGCGCGCATTGCCCTCTTCTTCCTCTACCTGTCTCACTCCGCCTTCTTCAGCACCGGGAACCTCGCCTCGATCTCCTCCTTCTCCCTGGACGCCGTGCTGCGTCTCCTCCCGGTCTTCGATCCCTCCAGCCAGGGCGCCCTCCTGATCCTCAAGATCCTGGCGCCCTTCGTGCTCGTCTCGGCGAACCTGGGGCTCTTGACCCGCGCGCTGCGCCTGCGGCCTGGGGCACTCTTCGTGCTGGTCGTCGCCGCGAGCGACTATCTGACGCTGCGGTTCTTTTGGTGCGTCCGGGATGAGGGCTCGTGGCTGGAGATCGGGGAGAGTATCACGGTGTTTGTGCTGGCGTCGTTGCTCTGTGGGTTTGTGGCGGGGCTGGAGATGGTTGGGGAGGGGGTTGTAGGGGGGCGCGAGGGGCGCGAGGGGGTCGATGGTGCTGAGGGGGTTGCTGTGGGCACTGAGACGAAGGCCAAGCCTTCATGAGGTGTGTGTGTGTGTGTGTGTGTGAAAAGGCAAGCTCCATTAACCCTCACTTCAAGCCTCAGACCACTCATCAAAAGACCTTGGACACCATGATACCTTTTCAATTCTCCTTGGGGACCTCTCCAGCTGATACGACGTGCTGATTACACGATACGCCGAGGTATAGAACAATCAAAATCTTATCTCTCACACTCCTCGCCATCCAAATTCGCCTGCACAGTTCTGTACCACTAGCGGCATCAAAGATGTGGTGTGCTGTGCAGTATTGTATCTGCGAGCCCCAGATCGATATATAAATCACTCCCCGTAACCAACGCTTGCGCAGCTCCCAGTATGGCCGCAGAATGACTCTATACACCAATAGAACACCTGATAGGAGGTTCCGATTGAGGAGTGTACAGATATCATCCGACTGCTGTTTTAATTTTACTATCGAATGTCAAGTCAAGACAAAAGTGGTTATAGCAACCGGTAGACTAGGCTAGCCATGGATGGGCACCCCAATTCCGAGAGAGCTGGGTGATGGGGGGGAAGGCAGGTCGAAACTTGCGCGAAAAAGGAGTGCAATGCAACATCCAAGTCCGACTGGCGATGGAGCATGAGCCGGGAGTCAGCGGAAGAACGCACACACACACACCCTTCACTCGCAACCAACGCAGAAGATTCCCTTGGGGAAAACTGCGGTGGTCGTTGATGTAACTAATGGCTTATATGTAGAGAGGTGCTTGACAACCAGTAGCTGGCTGCTTGAACCCCCACCCACCCTTTGGCCTTCCACTGTGCCGTGGGGGGGGAATGCGAACTTTATGGGGTGAGTTTAGTCAAAACTTATTAGGGCTCTAGATCCCTCTGGGCCTTGAAGAAAAAAACAAAAAAAAAAAAAAACAAAAAAATCCTTAACTCAACAGTCCAACCAATGTCTACTAGAGTACTGTATACTGCGTTACTGAAGTTCAACCCATCAGTTCCCCCCGCCCCCTCAGTTGCTTGCAAATCTCCTTGCCCTAGGGTGTTGTACAGTACAAGACAAAGCGCCCAGCTGAAGGTACATACATGTACATAGTAACGATTAACCAAGTTCCCCCCCCCCAGTGAACAGGGAACAGAGAACAGTGCACAGGAACCGAATGAATCACCTCTTGTGCCGCAAGTGTGTGTTTGCCGTCCTCGATGTATAGAAAGAAGCTCTAGGCCACGGCGTGGGCTCTCGGGGCCCGTGCGTGCCTGACAACAGCAGCAGCAGCAGCAGCAGTAAGGGCATCCGTCTCCTTTCCCCCCTTGGCTATATACTGCGGACCGCCAGAATCAGTTGGCTCACTCAGGCCCCGCACCAGCGCCAGCAGCTGCTTACTATACTAACAGCGGAGATTTTAGTATTGGCCCCGGTGGTGATGATGATGATGATGATGATGATGATTATCTGGTTTGTAAGGTTAGACCTTCTGGCGCAAAGGTGGCGAGCGGTTTATCAAAGAGCTGGCGTTGAAAACAAAATGCTCCCTGGGTCGCCCCGCTTTTCGATAGCAGGCGGGGTAAAGTTGGATAGGGTGAGGATAATGAGGAGAGGATTCCTGTATAGAAGTGTATTGACGTGGACGGAAATAGAGGGAGAGGATGGACTATAGTCTAGGATAAGTCTGGCAATGCAATCGCGAGATATCGGCGATATAAACTGGTTAGCGAACCCTAGATCACAGCCGGAGGTAAGGCGGGACAAGCACTCTTTACCTCCATCCCCCTGCGCTGATCATGTCATACGGGCAGGTAGCTATGCAGTAGTGGCTGCAATGGAGGCTCTAGGTCAATCACTCCAGTGTGCTCAGTGAACATAAAAGCAGCACAAAGTTCGACCTGACGCGGAAGGGGAAGTCGCTGGGTTTCTGCAGCAATCCAGTTCAATACTAAGGAGAGTACATACTGTAACTTAGCTACCACTTATCCTAGTGATGGCATTATGTCATGGTAAGAACCAGCGCTAGTGGCTGTCTACCTTATACGAACAAATCCAGTTAATTGACTCAACAAGGTTGATTGATATAGTTCAGGTTAAGGTTAAGATAAGATTTCCCTTTATACAAACAGAAAAGGACAGAGAACGAAGCAGAACATGAAGTGGTAGAACCAATTCGTCCCGTCTGCCCCATTCTTCCAGACAAAATGAGATGGAGTCGGTCGATACCGTGAAACTCGACGGACTAGAGATGGATCGCAGATGACCAGTCGCCGTTGGAGTGGGCGTGCATCGGGTTTGATCACCCCGGATGTGGATCAGACCAGAACACTCTCCGTCAAGTCTGAAGAACACAACAAGCCCAAATGCAAAGGTGGAAGTACAAGATGCGTGTTTGCAGTTGCTTCGAGAAAATTTCTCCCCGCATGGGCTCCCGCATGGGCTAAAAAGTACAGCGGACAATTCACAAAAAAACGAGAAAAAACATATGAAATTGGTATAGGTGGAGTCAGTCAGTGGGTGTGTGGTAAGAGTGGTAGCGGCAGACAATCCAGTCACAAGCCGGCGCTGGGGTTATACAAATAGATATAGAAAATCTGCGATACATGCAAAAGGGGTGTTCCAACTCCAACACGAGAAATAGAATATCAACATTTACAAAAAGTCACGCAATCTCGTACATGTCATCAGGGTGATGTGGTGGATGGCTGTCAGTGCAGCGGTTCGGCGGGAAGATAGAAGGAGGGAGGTCGGATAGGAGAGCGATGGGTGAAAGGAGTGTGAAGGCGGGTCATGAGGCTTCCATCTATTCTTCCATTCGGCCGAAGATACCATCGTCGTCGTCGTCCGCCTGGGCTGGCCGACTGCTGAAATCGACGTCGGCGTTGCGGGTTTGTCGCTTGGCACGGTCGGTTGCAGCACCACCCGTTCGGACTTCGCGCTCATCGGAGACCTTGTAAGACAGCGACGGGTTATAAGAAAGAGAGAGGAAGAGGTTGGAAGTGGTGTTCGAGAAGGCCGAGTTGGCAAGGCCTGCGTTGGACTGGTCCAAGCTGTGGCTTTCGCTGTCCGAGGGACTGCGTTGGTCGAGGAATCGAGTCGGGAGGGAAGGCACTGGAGGCACGCTAGGAGACAGCGGCACCGGCCCCATGCGAGGGGTGCCAAAATTGCAGAGACCGATCGCGGCTGCCAGATCAGCCTCGTCGTCCTCGTGCAACTTGGCTTCCGCAGTGGAAGGGCGGGTGTCAATGCTCGAGTGCCGCATGTGAGAAAAGGCTGGAGATGCCCAGGGAGCGCTGCTCGTGAACGAGCTTGAGGGGCCGGACTGATATGAGTGAGAGAAGAGACCCGAAGCATTGCTAACGCTGAATCGCTTGTCGGCCGTGGGTTCCATGGCCATGTCTTCATCGTCGTCCTCGTCCTCGTCCATTGGAGGCGGGGTCGTCTCCGCGGAACTGAGACCCTCTCGAAGCTCCGACGATGCGTCCGGTGAGGAGGCCGAGATCTCCGAGTCGGCTTCGGCGTTCTCATCGGAATCCTCCTGAGTCATCGTAACCAGCACAGAGGCGGCTTCCAGCAATTGCACCTGTTGGTGCTTGGAGATCAAAAGTTTCGAAGTGATGGCCCACGCAGGGTCATGTTCCCACCTGTATATCCAATAAACGTCAATTTACTGCGATCCACCAGGAGGAGAAGAGAGTTGGAGGGAGCGGAATGACCACGAAGGCGACCTGGGACAGAGCCGACATGGCGCATTTGCTCCGGACCGAGCCCGATGGCCGGATGGCATAGGGGGAGGATACACACATATGCTTGGACAAGCAGCTGCCATGCTTATACCCTTTCCCGCAACGCTCGCAGCGAAGCTCGGCCATGGATCGCTTTCCCTCGGGTTTGACCAGGTGGGCACCTTCGCTGGCCCGGCGGTTGCGGTTCTTGGTGGTGACGGGCTTGGCCGCTGGGTCACTGGGATCCGAGGAATCTGGCGCGGCGTTTTCGGAGATGGTTGCGGGGGGTACGACGGGGGTGGTCTGGGAAGGGGAGGTTTTGCGAGCGACCGGGGGTTCCTGGCTGGGGCTGTTCATACTGCGAGACAGATAAGAGCCGAAGCCGGAGGGGGCTCCGACCGAGCTAGACTCCCAGCCCTTTCGACTCCCACGGCGGTGTGCGGGCATCGGAATTCCCATGGAATCGCCCGATTCTTTCAAGGATGCAGCGACCGCAGCAGCGGCCGCATTAGCAGCAGCAGCAGTGGTGACACTCTTGCGACGAGTCACCCGATGATTGGCGTTGACCGCACCGAGCGAGATGGAGTGTGAGTGGTGACGGGAGTTGGATTGAGGAAGAGGGCGAGAGAGGGACAATTCCTATTTTATGGAAGATCGGAGTTGTTAGTCGGACATATTGTCTGGGGGGAGTGGATTCAATAGCGCTGACTGTCCGCAGAGCACGCCATCCACGGAGAAAGTCCAGGGGAAAGGAAAGAGTGCACGTTACCTTGAAGGAGGCCATGTTTAGTACGTGGACTGTCGGGCTGTCAATCCCGTGCAGTCCAGAGGTAGTAGTAGTATTGAATAGCACCAGAGAGGAAATCTGAGTGGTATGGTTTAGCGGAGGTGGTGGAGGGATCGTAGTCGAACAGTAGAGAAGTAGTGAGGAAGCGGGAGGTGGAGGGAGGAAAATGAGAAATAAATTGAAAGAGAAGTGAGGCAAAGAAATTCAGCTGGCGGGCAAAATCCAGGGATACGAGCGGCAGAGCAGGTACCTGTCAGGCTAAGCACGAGCAAGGTTCAGGGCCAACCACAAGGTAGTACGTGAGTGATTTAACGGGGCAATTGGGAGAGGGAGTCAATTGGGATGATTAGGAGGAGGATGGATATAGAGAAGGGGAAGGGGAGAGAGAAAAAGGAAGCGTTGTAGAAGAAGAGGAGAAAGAGGCAGAGGCAGAGAGGGGAAATTGAAAGTAAGAGGGGAAAGGGTTGAAGGGGGAGGGAGAGGAGAGAGAGAGAGAGCAAGAGGGACAAAAAAGGGAAAAAGAAAAAAATAATAATAATAATAATAATCAAAAATAAAATAAAATAAAACAGGAGATCAGAGTAAGTTACTATGTAAGTCAATCAAGTAAAGTTAGGGAAAAGAAAAGGTGTTAAGCAGCAGCTGCTGCAGGAAAGAGAGAGCGAGAGAGACCAGAGGAATGAATGAATAGAACAAGTGAATGAATGGATTGGATGGCTGCACGAGGTCCAGTCTAGTACGGTTACTGCTGATAATACTGATAGTAGGAGAGATTAGTTAATTACATTGCATCAGTCATCAATACCCAGGGAATTAATTGCTAAATTTATTTTTATTTTGAAAGAGAGGGGGAATCATTGTTAGATACTAATACTATCTATCATACTAGTCTAGTTAGTATACTACAGATAGGGACCTTTTATCTAGGTAGTTGGTAGTCTAGTGACTACAGTTTTGCGGGGGGGGGGGGGGGGGGGGGGGGGGGGGGTTTAATGTTTTTTCTCCTTCAATTCAACTGATGTTGTTGATTCATCTTCCTCACTGCTCACTGTCTCCCTCTCTTCCCCTCTTGAATTCCCCCTCTTCTATGAATTTATTTTGGTTTCCTTTCCCCATGCAATTCAAAACGAAATAGGCAAACCCGCGAGAGAGGATTGGTTGTAAATGACTGGATTGGGTTTTTGCTAGTAAAGCAGCAATGCGGGGGTCGGGCGATCCGCTCTGGATTCGACTCAATTACCGTCCAAAAACCAAAAATTCCCAAAGCTGTTTGTCCACGCGGATCTTTTCCCCAGGCAAAAGCAAAGCAGAGCAGAGTACTCCGTCAAGCAGAGCATCTTTTCTTTTTGGGTTGATTCTGGAAAAGACTTAAACTACCCCATCTCCAACCCACTCACCAAGAAAACCAGCGAATGGATCTCTGAGAACACCGAACACCGAACACCGCGGAACAAATTAATTTTCAAGGGCAGTCAGGGCTGGGCCGGTTCCTGACTAACAAACCAGCAACAGAACACGGAGCAGGAGCAGCGAAACCAGGCAGTTCTGGGATGTTATTTGCTCCACTCGCATCTGCCTTCCGAGAAGTGGAATCGTGGATGATATCAACCAGTGCTCGGAATTCAGAACGATTGGGTCCAGACAAAGAAGATTTCCCCAAGTTTCAGTAAGAAAAGAAAAAAAAAAAAAAGTTGAAGTTGACACTCAAATAATTTTTTGAGAGTCTTACTCTTGTAGTGTTTTGGCATGACTCTGCAGCAGAGTTATTGTTGTGGTAGTGGTGATTGTTTTTGTTTGGAGGCGGAGAAAGGCCCAGCTCCGGTCACCTGCGAGGCTACTAAGGACAGTACGTTGTGAGGACCCATCAGCTGGTGCTTCTGCAATGGGAAGCTGGCCAAATCCTCCGAACCTCCTCCCTCCTCTCCTCAGTCCGGATCATCCATTCTTCATTCTTTGTTTCTCTTCTTCACAAAGAACCATCGGAGGTTTGAATAAGAATCATGGAAATGATTCAGAAATACATGTAACAAAACAAAAAAAAAAAGGCAAACAAGAAAGTCCTTTTCAGGAGGGATTTCATTGTGCCACGAACAATCATTGATGGGCCCGGACACAGTGTGTAACTTGCTTACGACTGGCGACTTGCTGCAACTTCCCAAAAATCACTCAGGCAGATCGGGGCCTCCCGCCCCCGTGGCCGTCGATAGCCAGCCATGACCATACCGTAATTACGCCACCCTTCATCGACCGGTCTAGGGCCTGGAATAGGGTGGGGAGCATGATGTCATTTCCGCCAGCTGACCGTACTGTACGGGGCTTGGAGAGAGGGGCCGGGGGAAGCGCCCGCCCCGGGTGAGTTCGGTACCGTCACGGTAACTGGTACGTGGTGGTACAGTACGCTCGGTCGGTACAATACTGTACGAACTGACACAGTGAACCCGACCTTATCTCCAGTCCTCCAGCCCAGTCAGCAAGCAAGCACGCAAGTTTAAACTCAACTCGTCTCCTCTCCTCTCACCAGGTGTTCGTGGGTCACGGAGTGTGTAAGTTGCTCAGTCGATCAGTCAATCCTTCTGGATACCCCGTGACATGTCTTCCACCCCTCTCGAATAATAAAAAGTCGTGGACCTACCTCATTCCCGACTACGTTGAATTCTGTCCACTTTTCAAACCCATGGTGGACTCTTGAGTCTCCCTGATCTGCCAACCAGCTGGACCCAGTGGGCTGGCTGGCTGGCAGACAGACAGACAGACAGACAGACAACAAACAACAGACAGACAGTCTGGCCGTGGCCCTCAAGTGGAGTCGCCCACCACATCACCCTTTCCCCTACTCCGTACTCCTCTTTTTATGAGTATCCATCCCTTAACCCTTTCCCTATCGATGGATCATCCTACGTCACGATCGCTGAGCCTGACCGTCGGACTGTCTGACTGCTGACCTGGCGAAAATAAATTCCCCCCTCCCTTCCCTCCCCCCCCTTCACTGTCGTTCCTGATCGACGAAGGATTGCCAGGCACGCGGACATCGGAGTCTGAACCGAACCGGGTTTTGCAAGAAAAAAAACATTCCAAGGGAATGCCATGTGTTATTGCCCATCACACAGAAAAAAAAACTGGATTGCCTAGCGGTCAGCATTCATGAAATTCTTGTTGAAGAACTGCTGCCCAGTTTGGGGGGAGAAACAGAAAAAAAAAAGAATCCCAACTTCGGGATGACGTTGTGCACATTCCAGAGGGATCCACTTCGACCTCACTTCTGCCGGAGGTCCATCATCGCGCAATCCCTTTTCCTGCTGCTGCTGCTGCTGCTGCTGCTGCTGCTGAGAAAAGAGAAGGTAAAATAACTGGGAGACACAGGTTTCAGAAAATTCCGAGAAGACTTGCTGTGTTGGTCTGAAGCAATTGCGCCTCTGCGCCAAGAGCGTATTCGATGCAGTTGTTGCTGCTGTTGCTGCTAATACTGTGGACAGAGTGGAGTCCTCGGTTCCAGGATCGAAGAAAGGTAGCTCACAAACAGTCCAACAAAAACAATTGACCGTCAACCAGTCAGGCAGGAATCCGATTCCGCGGGCGACGTGCGGAAAGCTAGAGACGCTCGCCATTCGAACGTTCGGCCAAAATCCCTGCGACGAGGATCTGCAGCCGCAGAGGTGGTCCGATTGATCGATGAGACCGACCACCTGTCAACCGCCCAGTCAGCACGAAATCGCCCGACAGTTGGTTGCCCTGTCGGCAATTCATCTTTCAGGTTCGTTTGCTTTGCATAACGCCATGCTAGAATCGGGATCCTGAACAGCAATGGCCATCATTTTGTTTTCTTGTCCATAGTCTCACCCCCAATCGTAAGATAAGCTTCTGGGTGATAGACCCTGATTAGAGGCATTGAGGAAAGTCAATCAATTATGGAGTAACCAGGGCCACGCGTGGCGTTCTGGTGGGTACAACAGCGCGTGGACCTGTGTAAATGTCTCTCACGGAGATAACCAACATCTATGCCACAGCACATGTGTATAGTATGCGAATAAGAATACACTTACCCCGGAGGATCTCCGCTCTACGACCACCGAGATGTTCCCTCCCCCACTTCACGACTTCAACTCCCAACTCCCAAACCTCCCGAAAAATGAGATGGCATACTCTAATGCATAGTCTCTACTCATACTCACAGAAAATCAAGATCTAATCAACCACCCGCTGAAAGCAAACCGTACAGACACCCTGCCCTTCCCTGCCCCCGAAGCGAAACCTGGGATACTCGACCCTGCCCCAAACCACCAACCGATCCTTCTGCCCATCAGCAGCAGCAGCAGCAGCAGGAGCAGTAAACCACTCCACCAACTCCTCCTCCGTCCAGTTACAACTCGTCACCACGAGGAACCCGCCCGGACGCACCAACCCCCTGGCGATGCCGGGGTACCGTTCACAAACCCGCCTCTGCACCATCTTTCCCCCCTTCCTCTCTTGACCTTCCCCCAGCCCCTCAGTCCCCTCAGTCCCCTCCGCACCCTCCGCATCCTCCCCCTCAGAACCCGACACCACCTCCGCCGACAAAGAAACAGCATCAAACGTCCCCTTATCCAACACAATATCGAACCCCCGGCGCTCGTACGGAAACCACGCCAGCCCTTCAGGAACCACACTAGTAGCACCAGCACCAGCACCAGCACCAGCAGAAGAAGAGGATGAGGGCGAGGAGGAGAGGATATCCCACTCCTCGAAGCGAATATCCATATTCGTCCCCTCCCGGTCCCCTGGGCCCTGCCCTTCACCCCCCTCCCCCTCATCCTCCCCCTCATCCGAATCCTCATCCTCCTCATCCGAATCCGAGAGATAAGCCCGATGGATCCGCAACGCCTGCAACCGCCTCGCAAGCTCCACGCTCTGCGCCGAATAATCCACGCCGACCATGGCGCCCCGGAAGCCGCCGCGTTTCCGGAGCAGCGCCAGCATGCTGCCGTTGCCGGTGCCGAGGTCGAGGATGGAGGGTTGCTGCGGCGGCTGCGCTCCGCGGTTTACCCCGGTTTGAGCGTCGGCGTCAGCCTCAGCCTCAGCATCGGCTGCATGGCCGGGGAGGGGGTGGGTGGTGGTGGTGTGGCACGGCGCGAGGGGAAAGGTCTCGTCGGTGAGGAAGTCCAGGACTTTGGCGGGGGCGTTGTGTTCCGAGAACCAGGAGGTGCCTGGGTCGGAGTCGTCGTCGATGTCGTCTTCGGATTCTTCGGAGGGTTCTTCATCGGAGGAGGTGGTGGAGGAGGAGGTGGTGGTGGTGGTGGGTTTGGTGGTCGAGGAAGACGCGATGGGAGCGGGTTGTTTGGAGGAGAGGTGGGAGAGGGTGCGGGCGTAGTAGGTTTCCCAGCTATTCCATCGTCAGTCGGTGAGTTCTCTTTTCGCGCATTCTCAGGAATGCTCAGGGAAAGGCAGGTGGTGTCAACCCGAAAAAAAAAAGCGACAGAAAAAAAAAAAAAAAAATAAGAGGGGTAGCGGGGTAGAAACAGTCTTTCTAACTTACTAGTCCTTGGTGCCGAGTTCACTCGGTTCTAAATATGTGGGATGTTGGTCGGTCATGGTGGAATTGTGCTGACCCTTCTCCGTGGGCAATGGACAATGGGCAATGGCCTTGATGGTGTCCTGGTTGTTGGTCCTGGGTGGGAAGTGGATGGTTGGAGCGTCGACAAAAAATTGCCTTATCCGCCAACTTCTGGAGTTCTCCCCGGATCCCGAGACTGATCCGTGCGCTAACTACATACACACATAGCACTAACTACTTCCTGAATATTACTTTACTTTCTACTCCTACACAACACAACAACATCTTCTCGCTACAACGCGAATGTCACATTTCACCAACAAACCAATAAGCCTAGGGTATTCCGCAGCTGGATGCCACTTGCATGCCACATGCCTGCCACAACCAGATAAAGAAATGAGAATAGTATTACAAGTTATCAGGCACGTCACGATTCCTCGCCGCCCTTTATCTTTTATAACACCACGACGCCGCTTGTCCAGGAAGCATGCATAATGTTGAGCCCATGGCCTTCAATGCAAAAGATAGAGAAATGAACGAAATAACGACCGTAAAGCCCGCTTTGGTCATCAACTCATCAATTAGATGAAACAGGTAATGAATGTGGATGGGAAGAAAAGAAAGGAATGTAGATGCCACAACGGCCAGAGTGAAGATGTAAAGGAATGTTGCCCTGACGCTCGGGTCAGAATGAAGTGGTGGTAGTCATGGAATCATTTCGCAGACCGATGCCCAATGGCCAGTCCGATCGAAGACATTATGGCAGAATTACAGAAATTCATCAATATTTCTCATAATCAACCTCTCATTCCCGGGTGGCGGAGACCGCGGATCCGCTATCCGCGATCGGAACCGCAGTCCGTTGAGGCCATCATCCTCGAGGACATCGGAAACCGATCGCGAGATAGGCGCGGCCATAAAGTCCGTCGTCCTCGGTGAGAAGAGAGCGTTGGATTCCTCAGACCCTTCCCGCACGAACATGTCGGTCTTAGCCAACGAGTACGGTCCGGCTTCGGAGTGCCATGGGGGTGGTGCCGGTTTGGCAGGTGTAGTATCGCTTGTCAACCCGGTATGGAAGCTCTGGCGTAAGGGCAATGGCCGGGGTGAGATGCTTCGTTTGTGCGAAAGAGACTTGGTAAATCCAAGACTCTCAATGGACACGGGCGTGGTCTGGTTGGTGGAGGGCACCGACAAAGAGCTCATCGATGCTTGTGACATAGCATTGGACGAATGGGGTTCAACATCGGAGTATACACTCTCATTGCCAGGAATACAGGTCTCGACCGACTCTCGCTTTTCGGCTCGTGAACGCCGCTTTTCGGTGTCATTTGGCGAGCTTTCGCCGAACCACTCTTCAGGGGCGGCTTTGGACAAACCCCCGCGGAGGAGGCGGGAGCGGAAATCCGTCAGCTGGTAAATGAGACTCATGTTGGGCCCAACCCAGCGGCTGCGCCCCTTCACAATCTCGTACATCGAGTTGAAATCCAAGTCTCGGTTCTTGAAAAGACCATAGGCGATCACCAACGAGGCTGATCGGCTGGCGCCCAGCTGGCAATGCACAAGGACTTTCTTTCCATCTGCGATGCGGGAGTCGATCAGCTCGCATAGTGGGTATAGGTCCTCCAGGATCTCCGAGTTATGATCCCAGCCGACGTGGACATATTCCGGTCCGGATGCTTCACTTTTCGGAGTCGCCGGCAGCGATGCCTTACTTGGGGGATATTCAAATGCGGATTTGAATGATGTTTCCGAGGCGGCGGTCCATGGTTCCGCAATAGAAAGGCGCTTGGGACTGACGGACCCATTGCGCAGTGCGCTCACCACAGTCTCGGTGTTGGCGCTGGCCTTAGTAAACGGGTTTGCGACCTCCTTAGCCACATTCACAACAACGTCAAACTGGGATGCCTCTTGCGCAGTCGGTTCCAAGTAGAGAAAAACGCCAGAATCATAGATTTGAATGGGCCCATTGGGGTAGCCTCGCTCGCTACGCCGCGTCGATTCTCTAGAGTCCAGATGATCGTCCTCCTCCTTCAGCTCATGCAACACCCCACCAGAAGCGGAATCCTCATCCTCTACAGTCTGTAGGGGTGACAAGTTGCTCTCCGACGTAGCCGAGGGTCGCCGGGCGCCATGATGCGTCATGGGTCGAGGTAGCTGCATGCCACCCTTGGGACCGAAAGAAGGAGAAAAGACAGAGGTCAGGGAAGGCGAAGATTCGGTATGGCGCAGTGAGTGCGGGGTGGGAGGAACAAGCTCAGTGATGTTGTTGGAAAATGACCTGTCGAACCCGGGCGTGCGGATGGTCAAGTTTGCTGGTTTGCGGCGCATACCCTTGAGAGGCATGTGCACAGGAGACGGGGGAGCGGAGAGATGGTGTGAGGTCCCTTCGACCATAGATGCTGTTGCGATGGGTGGGCGCGACTGGGACGGTGGCGGCATCCTCAGTGAGAGGTTTTTGAGGTTTCGTGCCCGTCTGCCTGGAGAATCGGGCCGTGGAAGACTAGCGCCATCTGAAGCAGGTTGGGAAAGGCTGTTAGTCGACGATGACTGGCTTTCGAAGTTTCGCGCCGGTGGCATGGTGAATTTGTTGTTGAACGCCAAGGGCATGGACGAGGGAGATTCGGGAGAGGAGCTCGGAGATGTATCCGCCACAGATGGCGAGTCGAATGTTGAGATGGTAGTCGTGGGCGAAGAGTCGGCGGAACCTGATGTCACGGAGGAAATACTCGCACGATGTTGGAAAGGAAAGGGACGGCGGGTCGAGGTATTGATGGTGACATTGGTGGGCAGACGGAGAGGTTTGAGTGCTGTGTTCCGCGCCTCCTTCTCGGAGAAGTCAAGCGTGCGCCCGCCAAAAACTGACATGAAGGAGGGAAACGAGTCCGGGAGTGTTGGAGCGCTGGTCTGCACCGGCATGGTTGTTTCAGATGTTGGTGAGATACACCTACGTTTGAAAGGGATCGTTGCCCTTTCCGGATCGCAGCTGTAGTGAAGAGTCGGCGCGAACACTGGGGCACAATTGTTGTGGCCAGCTCCAAGAAAACAAGGTAGAGTCGCACTTGCTACCAGCGCAAATGACCTTTTGTTTAGACAATCAGCTTCCATGTTTCAGGGTAAGTTGTTGGTTTTCGGCAGTAGAAGCAAGCACAGCTGCAAGGAGAGTGAAACCGGTTCGAGGATCGGCCAGCTTCGTGAAATGAAAACAACAGAGCTAGTAAGGTCTGTAGAAGCAACAAAGAAGAGAACAGGATCGCATATGCACGCAAAAGCAGAGATTCGCAGTTGATGTCCTAAATGGAGTCCGAGATCAGGAACATACCAAGGAATGCTGCAAGAGAAGGATATCCTCTTGAGATCAGTCAGTAAAGTGTTTGAGGTGAAGGATTGAAAATTGAGAGATCTCAAATGAGAAGCAGCGACGAGAACATGAAGTTCGAATGAAGGAGAGGAAAAGAAGCTTTAGGTATAGTTCTTCATGAAAGAGGTTTTGGAAGTAAGTGAATATGCAACTAGGGTTTGGGGGGGAGGAGGGAGAATTGCCGCCCGGGGAGAGTAACAAAGTGGGCAGTCGTTCCTCCGGGGAATGACGACAGAAAACGTGGGTGGGATTGCTCTCAGTCGCAAACGACTGCCCACCACCACTCAAAGGAACGGCACGGACAAGTCGCAATGCCAGGCAGGCAGGTGGAAAAGGTCCCTGCGTCAAGGGAAGAGGGAGGGGGGTGGGAACAGGGAGG